ACGTATAAAAAGTAATAAAAAATAAGCAGTTTATTAACACAAAAACAAAAATTATATAACCTTAATCTTTACAAATGATTCCTTATCAACACCTGGCCGCGTACCAGTAGCTAATGGTTGGCGTACCGGCACCGGTCCACGGACAACCATTTTGAGTAGCATTGTTTTAGTGTTTGGATGAACTATAACAAATTAAGTATAGGAGAAAAAGAAACTGAACAGAGAATATGTTGCGCCATAGGTAGTTTTGCCCAACACCGCCAATTGCTACGAAACCAAATCATTAACCTAGAAACTCGAGTCAAATAGCCTCGTCAGATTGGGAGCTTCATATGGATGCCATACATGGTTCCAAACCCGTTCAGAAATATTTAAACTGTCAGCTGTATACACCTGCTTCCTATGATCAGTGGTAAAAAGGGTTTTGAGTAAGTAAAACTTGAGGATCTTGGCAAAAATCATTCTTTTTTGAACATTGGGAACTGGCGTTACAGAATCACAAACAATTGTACCAAATAACTGAAACCACATCACTTGAGGACTATCAACAGCAGCAACAACTAAAATGTATGTATGTAACATAGAACTCGAAGAGAAAATATTGACGTAACCGAGATGTTGATATTCCACGCTACACCAAACAAAAGGCAAGGTAGGAAACTCCCATCGAGAGCATTAACAGCCACATGTAACTTGGAGATAAAATGATGACATAATCAAGATTCACACCACTTCAAATAGAAGATTCATAAAGAAGCCCTTATCGATACTGGAAAGAGCAATAACAGCTACTGGACTTGAGAAACCTGTTTTCCTAAAAACAAATGTTTTAAGAGAAAGATTTTTATAAACATCAACCGAAAACAGTACTGGTTTCTCGGTCAACGAATGATAAATGATTTCTTAAGAGTAAACGGCTAATATTACCGTCGCAGTTATTATAAAAAAACTTAATGCCTGGCTGACATCAAAAGGGGCAACACAATGAATGAGTTACGTAACGGGGACGTCGAAATTAAGTTGGGAAAAATGTCTTTCCACCCTGAAAGCATCTTTCCAAAAACGCTACTTTGAGATACTCATCACGATTTTTTTTTTTTATCTTTCATTCTTTTATTATCATCTTCCAGGGATTAACATTTTTGCAGAGGTTAATGTTTTTATCTTGCAGAGATTAACGTTTTTATCTTGCAGAGATTAACGTTTTCATTTTTCAGAGATTAACATTTTCATCTTGTAGAAATTAACATTTTTATCTTGCAGAGATTAACGTTTTTATCTTGCAGATATTAACGTTTTCATTTTTCAGAGATTAACATTTTCATCTTGTAGAAATTAACATTTTTATCTTGCAGAGATTAACGTTTTTATCTTGCAGAGATTAACGTTTTCATTTTTCAGAGATTAACATTTTCATCTTGTAGAAATTAACATTTTCATCTTGCAGAGATTAACGTTTTTATCTTGCAGAGATTAACGTTTTCATTTTTCAGAGATAAACATTTTCATCTTGCAGCGATTAATGTTTTCTTTTTATTTCTCTAAAATATTTTTCTCTGTAGGCCGTTAGTGGTTTTCTCCCTCGTTTCTGGTGAAAAAAATCCCACCCCCTCCAGAATGCAGTGGCAACTATTTTCCATATAGTTAGGGCGGGTCATATACTAACCCCACCTAATTTTTGTTTATTATATTCAAGCTTTGGGTCATTTTGTCTCCTTCCCAGTAATGCATTTCGGCTCTTCAGTCTAATTTCAGAAAATAAATTGTTTTTATGCCAGTTTGACATTATTTAATTTTAATTGTTTTTTTTTATTGATTGATTCGATTTTTTTTACGGCTTCTCAATTCTTCGGAGGTTATTTAAAGCCAGAAAATATTTTTAGATGTTAAGAGATCTTTTTCGAGATAATAATGATTTTGTGATACAAGTTTTACTAATTAAGTCATGGCGGAGACGATTTCAAAACTAACCAGAATTTGATAAACATACAAGAAATTATAATGTGGATATAAAGTTGGGGATCATTTCTATATTGCAATCAATATATAAAGCGATCCCTCATTTTGTGGCCACGGTAGTTTCTATCCATTTATATTCCAGAGAATGGAAATAAATCTAAAAGACATGCCTGTGTAGCCGATCAGTATTTCATTGATTGATTGATGCGTTTTCTACGGCATTTCAACAAACAAGAAATTATAAGTGGGGGATCAATTCTACATTACAATCGATGATAAAATGATCCCTCACTTTGTGCCCATGGTTGTTTCTAACCATTTATATTCCAGAGAATGTAAATAAATCTAAAAAGCATACCTGTGTAGCTAATCAGTATTTCATTGATGCGTTTTCTACGTCTTATCAACCCTTTGTAGGTTATTTAAAGCCAGAAAATATTTTTAGATTGTAATATTTTTTTCGGAGATAATAATAATTTAACGATACAAGTTTTACTAATTAACCCATAGCTGGGAGGGGAAGAGTTGGGTTCATACCTTTCTCAAGGGTATTTGCACGTAAGTGAATATACCGAATCCAACTGGAATTGAAACTCGGCTCTCCGAATGACAATTCCGAGACATTATTCATTACACCACGCGCACATCCAAGCTTTTATCACCTGGCATTCGCAAGTAGTCACCCATCTAGGTACCGTCCAGGGTCGACATTACTTAACTTAATTTAATTTAATTTAATTGATACTGTTTTCATTTTGAAAGTAAAATGGTAGAGTACTGGGTTGAAATAATTGTCTAGATTGTTCTGGTAAGGAGCTTACAATGAGTGGGTGGGATGTTGTGGGGGTGACTTTAGTTAGGGGGTAAATTGTTGTGCATTAAAACCACATCCTTCGGTTCTTGCGATGAGTAGAGTCCAACTTTTGGAGTTTTTTGATCTCGTCTCTCCGTGACACCATGATTGGGATATCCACAAAAAAGATTCTGTTGTATGGCTGGCAGATGGAATCTTTGAAGTCGAGTCTTGTAAACGGAACCCACTTGACCGGCAAAGAAAAGAACAAATGGGGTAAAGTATTTGGGGTTAAGTGACAACGAAGCCGGAAAATGATGGTTTCTGATCGCTTAATTTGTGTCTTCATTTGGATTGGCGCTGATGTCACTCGGGTCGTTCCGACGCTACGTGTTCGTATTTCCAGCCATATTATGTGATGTGTAGATGGGCAGAGAGTTCGTAGGATGAAACAGCTGAGCTTTTGGACTGGCATGGTAGAAGTTGTCCCCAGGTATACCTACCTATCCACCCGTACCGAGGAAGCGAAGCCATGAATAAAACATCTAAGCATATTGGAAACAGGGTTTGATTTTTCATTACACGATATGGTGTTTTTTATTGTTATCTTGTGAATGTGCGGCAAGACTCTTCGTGTTGTTCGTGCACACCGATGTGGGGTTATCATTAGCCGGTTGGTGGAAAGATGCATGAGGGTTGGCAATCAAACTAAGAGAAGGACTGCCCTTAATTTGAACTCCATCTGGCAGCAAGACCTCTGGCCGGGAGATTGGAGCTTTTGAGGAGCGTGGAACAAATTCTTAATTAATGTTGTTCCCAGGTCTAACCGAACTCGCGGTGGCAGCACCTGTTAGGATCCCAGCCATGGGCAAATATGAACGCCCAAACAATGAAAGTATGACGCAATGCCACTGATCGATGGCATCCAATGAACATCGAACTCACTAAATAATAATGGTATGTGAGATTAGCTATTGTATTTCGAAGGAAAAATCATTATCTTGAGTAATGAACTTTCGACGTAAGGTAATATATATATATATATAATATATCAATAAGACATTTTAAAAAATAGCATATTTTGATTCGCATTATAGTTTTTCGTCTCAAATGCTACCTGAATTTTACTAAAAGCAAAATAATTTCCATGCCTGAAGATGACTGAGTGTACAGTCGAAAGTACTTGCGTATTAAAGAAAGATCTTATACAACATATACTTTTTTAAAACAAGGATCATAACATTCATCAAGTGATTTGTAGGTTAATTCGCCTTTAAAATTTTGTTAGCGAAGGGATTTATATAATTAACTTTACTAATCTAATTTTTGTATGAATGATTCATTGTAGTATATATTTAATATATTTTATCTAACTGAACCCTTTATTTCACTCACTGGGGTAGACTGTTCTAGTTCCACGGCCCATGTTTAATGGATATCAATTGCCAGTTATCTCCTGTTAATTCTCCTCTCCAAGTTCTCCACTGCCTTAACCGGGTATTGAACTCACACTCTTTGGGTCCTCTCACTGGAACTAACTAACGCCTTTATCCACTGTGCCATGTGTCCTTGACATTCTAACCACCTGAAGAAGACCAGAGCGTACAAGGGGCGAAACGTTGTAATAAATATGGTGACAAAGATGAGGGCAGTAGGCCGAATAATGTAAATAGTGTACATAATACCTCATCTCAGAAATATTGACAGATACCGAAGAAGACCGGAGCGTACAACGGCCGAAATGTTGTAATAAATATGGCGACAAAGACGAGGACAGTAGTCCGAATAATGTAAATAATGTACATAATACCTCATCTCAGAAATATAAACAGATACATATTTATAGTAAAATGACCAGAAATACATATATTTATAGTAGAACAACCAACAATATATTTTATCTGTAGTTAAAGACATACAAATGCATTCAAAATATGTATAATTGAAGGTATCAAATTGTGTTCAAAATATTTAGATTTCAGCTTTAAATAACCCATAGAAGTGCTGATATGTTGATCCGTTGCTAAATCAAAATCAACCCTTGTATCCCAGTGGCCTTTATTGCCTTCCTAGGGGTGAAATGATTGGGCAAAATGAGAGTCCATCTTCTTACATCGGAACTATATTATGCAGAAACCTGAAAACCTGCATCTTTTGGATTCCCAATCGAGTTACCATTCTCTTGTTCACTACTGTCGAATGCCTCACTTAATCATTTAAGAAATTTTAGAAGATTTGCTAAACTTACCGTAGCAATACTGGACAGCAATTAGTTCGACAAGACATACAAAAAGCAATGAGTAGGAGGCGGCGTGTTCATCTAATAACGTTATGACGTATTGTCCACCCTGAAAAGTTTGAAATAGGGAAAAAAAACAGGAAGACAGATAGAAAATATTAGACAAATGAGTTTATTATTGAACTACACAGAAAATATGAAATATAGGCATTGTCAGTGGTCAGGAATTAAGACAAGTGTTAATAATAGGATAGGGAGATTATATGTATAATGTAAATGCATTGCTAATGATTTTACAATAGGAAGGCATTGAAAATCAGGAAAAAGGTTATTGTCAGTAGTTAGGAATTAATGCAAGCATTAATGATAGAATAGGGTGATTATATGTATAATATAAATATATTGCTAATGATAGGAATGCATTGAGTATAAAGAAGAAATGGATGGTGAGTGTTCAGAATTTAACGCAATCATTAATGATGGAATAGGGCTATTATATGAACAGACAAACCTCTCATCTACGGACCCCCTATCAACGGACTCCCTATCAACGGACTTCGGATGCAGGCAAAATAAAAATAAAAAGTTATGCAGAAAAAAAAAACTCCAAATGGTCAGCGATGTATTTCCAAATTTGCGGGCTTACTCGGAACGAGTCTCAAAGTGACCGCTTGGCGGTGCGTAGCGTCCCTTTCAATTGTAAACAAAGTCAGGTGTACAGTATATAAAGTACGATACATTAGTACGTGTGAGAAAGTAGCCGTGAGAAATCTATTATCTGTGTCGTTTTGACTAATATGTCTATTAAGTATATATTTATTTCTGCCATATATACATGTTTATAGTATTTACATTATGATCATAACCAGGGTTAATTACTATAGCGATTTTATGACTCAAAAATAATCCTTTTCCACATACGGACAATCGGATTTAACGGACCACCCCTCCCCTATTAGTCCGTTGATGAGAGGCTTGTCTGTATAATGTAAATGCATTGCTAATATTTTTACTGTAGGAATGCACTGAAAATAATGAAGAAAAGCATTTTCAGTGGCCCAAAGTTAAGACAAGTTTGAGAAAACAAAGCCGTAAAGATTGTTGATGGAAAATTATTAGTTCTTTGCATTAGTAGAAACGATTGGCTTGACTGACACAGAGGTAAATGGATTAGAAAGACAGGTTGGCTCCATCTTAAATGTGCTATACCACAGTTTATACAGGGTTATTCAAAAAGAATGAACCGATTTCATGACGCATTGCTTCAGTTCTCAAGCATCGTCATAGAATGAGTTAATGACCATTTGAAAGAGGAGTTTACTAAGTTTTGAATGGCTACCACAGGGGGCGCTGTAGTCGCGTCGTATCCCCGGCAACGAATTGTTTATCCCCGAAAAAGGCGTTCTGCGTTCTCGAGTTCGCGAAAACAAATGCAGTTGCCACGGTGCAGCGTGCTTTTCGAAGGCAATAAAACATTAATCCACCCTCTCCTAAGAACATCGTTTCAAAAGAGTTGGCTTCTGTGCAAAGTCCAGGACGACTACGAGTTTCGGAGGAACAAGTGGCAAGAATCAGGAGCTGCGTTTGAAGCCCACAAATTGAGCTAGCCATGAGCTTGCGATCTCTCAATCTGGTACGTGCTAAGAAAACGTCTACATTTGAAACCTTACAGACTAAGCCTCGTTCAGGCACTTACCATGACCTTGCTCTTTGTGTTTGGCTTGCGAGATTCCCAGACCTCACTGTGTGTGATTTTTTTTCTTGTGGGTATACGTAAAAGATCGCGTTTATGTTCCACCGCTACCCACTAACCTCGATGAACTTAAACATCGAATAACAACAACGATCAACTCAGTGGATCGGGATTTGCTAATACGCGTCTGGGATGAATTCTCTTATCGCATTGATGTTGCTCGCGCTGCAGGTAGTGGCCACATTAAACACTTGTAAGACAGAAAATAAAAGTTGATTGTGAGTAGAATACTTGTCGGAGTTTTCTATTGTTTTTCCTTATTAAAATATTGCGTAATGAAATTGGTTCAATCTTTTTGAATAACCCTGTATATAAATATAGAAATAAGACTGAAATACTTAATCATCATCATCATCATCCCCATTACCGAGTGTGGTTGTAGGGTCACTGCGCAACGGAATACCTGACCAGTTCCATTTATGTATCTGGGTTGAAAGCCGGAAATATATTCATGTATAAATAGCATGACTTGGGGGCAAATTTACCTGGCGGAGCCCATCCCTCTTCAGGTCAGACCTCAACCGATATCTTCTAACTTGAAGAAACGCACACGTAGTTGTTGGTTCCATCTGAGGAACACTGCACCCTAACCGTTAGCTTCAGCCTCGGAAGCCCTCCACCCTGCGATGCCGTGTCATCACCGAAATATATGCACACAGATATTGAGCTCAGTCTGCCTCCTACCATCGTGTTAGATAGCCGTTGACCTTACATGAAGGTTCATCCATACTTTGACAGGTATTTGCCTGTCCAGCTACCCTCTTCACCTGAAGAGTCTGGGTGGGGGGAACGGGCTTAGTCGTCGATGACCCGACGATGCGACTGATTACATGATACCAGTAGCACTTGTAGATTGACCTGACATAAAATGTGTTAGTAGTCCACATGGCCTAGTAAGCTAACATACACTGGGAATAATGAGCAAAGAGAAATGCTGACAAAGGAAAGTCAAGGTATTTCACCAGAGATAAGCCATGTTGAACCGATATCTCTCGATTTGTGAGAGATGAGGAAAGGTAGCACTTGTCGATTGACTTGACATAAAATGTGTTAGTAGTCCACATGGCCTAGTAAGCTAACATACACTCGGAATAATGATCAAAGAGAAATTCTGACAAGGTATTTCACCAGAGATAGCTATGTTGAACCGATATCTCTCGATTTGTGAGAGATGAGGAAAGGTAGCACTTGTCGATTGACCTGACATAAAATGTGTTAGTAGTCCACATGGCCTAGTAAGCTAACATACACTCGGAACAATGATCAAAGAGAAATTCTGACAAGGTATTTCACCAGAGATAGCTATGTTGAACCGATATCTCTCGATTTGTGAGAGATGAGGAAAGGTAGCACTTGTCGATTGACCTGACATAAAATGTGTTAATAGTCCACATGGCCTAGTAAGCTAGCATACACTGGGAATAATGAGCAAAGAGAAATGCTGACAAAGGAATGTCAAGGTATTTCACCAGAGATAGCCATATTGAGAAACGTCGCGATACAGTCTTTGACTGTGTTCGACGTCTGTCGAACTCTCTGCTTTGCCAGAGAGGAACCCGGACGAAGCTTTGCCGAAGGGCAAGGTTTCTTCCGGGGAGGTAGACAGGCCCTGAACCCGTCTAGGCGGGTTCAAAGGGTATATTTTTGGCCGATCCTACGGGCTCGGAGAAACCCACTTTAAACTCGGCCTTGTGCCACATATATTCCTCGTGGGTGGAATATTAAATACTGAGATAGCCATGTTGAACCGATATCTCTCGATTTGTGAGAGATGAGGAAAGGTATAGGTCGCCGGCCAGGAAACGAGTCACTTGGCTGGTTTTACTAAGGCGACTATGGTTTGAATATAGAAACAGAAAAAAAGATAATATATCAAATGTACTTACGTATGTTGTCGTCGGTAATGCCATCAGAAAAACGAATATAATCAAACCCGCCACAAACAGTTCCCGACGCTGTCGAAGAATTTTGTATTCATCCGTGAAACCGGTCAAGAACGCTTCTAAGCCACCGAACTGTTTTCAGAAAAGCAAAGGAATTAGTCATTTTCATTAAAAGAAATCACTTTATTTACTAACAAATTTAAATACCGTTTAGTGGAGAAAAGCGTTGGTTTGTGAATTTGGTGTCATAGTGGTTGTGAGTTCAATCCCTGGCTCTGGCAGTGTGCACACGCACGAAGTGGAAAATAACGGAACAGTGCTAAATAAAAATGAGAACTAGACCAGATACCACGAGACATAGGGAAGTGGAACGAGAACAGTCTTCCCTGTATATTAAAGTATTCAATTAGGAATTCTCTGTAGGTTATCCAGATCGATATACACCTGAGGAATGCCGAAGGGCATGCCGGTCGAAACGTTGTGATAACAACAACAACAAAGATGAAGGCAGTAGTCCGAATATAAATAGTGTAAATAATAAATCAGCGTCCCAGAAATTCAAATAGAAAATATCGATAGAAAGTATTCTCGTTGTTTTTTTTATGTACAAATCTAAAACCTATGTCTTCAATATATTATTAATGTTATTATTATACATTAGGTTATATCAAAAGTATTTTCGTTTTTTACAGACCTTTACACCAAAGATTATTTCATGTACACATCTAAAACTATGAAATGTCTGAAGAATAAATGGAATTATTTTTAATCCGATATTTTTAAACGTTGCGCATTCGCAGGCCGACAGAAAGTTTAATCCTTTCTGAGATGTGATAATTTCTGTGGTTGAGCAATCTAAAGAACCTCAGATTAAATGGAGGTTTTTCTCTCTTGATCTGTTCCTCTCTTTCTACCCTCCCCTACAAAGTGGGTCGCAAGTTCAAACCCTGACGATGACAATTTTTTTTTTCTTAAATTTTCTCAAGTACGATAGACGGAATACACACTGTTTAAAATAAAAACGGGACGTTTATTTCAAACGCGGATATCCACTAAAATAAACTATTTATGACCACACTATATGATTAATATTATTATTACATATTGAAGTTTATCTTTAATCAACGTAGTTTTGTCTGACACAAGGCCATACGAATAGGTTGCTCTGTGGTAAATCAAAAGTAGCACACAAATGAACTGGAAGAAGATGGTGTAAAGTCGCGATTCTTACCGTACTGTCAAGCCCCAGGGTAATAAGCATGAGGAAGAAGATGATGGCCCAGAAAACAGAACCTGTCAGTGAGGCCACGGCTTCTGGGTAGACGACGAACACTAAACCAGGGCCTGCAAAAGAAAAGAATGTTGGAATAAAATAAAAAGACTGGAATTTGATTTTAAAAAAATATCGTCGAATGGAGGTCGAAGGTCTTAAAACAAAATCGCGAGGTAAACCGAATGAAAAATCGAGAATATGTTTCTCTCATTCCTTTTCCTTATGAATTCCTTTTCTTCCTCTTTCTCTTTCTTGATCTGTTTCTTTCTTTCTTTCTTTCTTCTGAATTCCTTTTCTTTTTTCTCGTTTTGCTGTTTCTCTCTTTCTAATTCATTCATTCTTTCTTTCTTTCTTTCTTTTTTTCTTTCTTTATCTATTTCCCCCTTTCTATTTTGTATCTCTTTCTTTATCTTTCTTTCTTCTTCAGAATTCCTTTTCCTTCTTTTTATCTTCCTTGATTTATTTCTCTCGTCCTCTTTTTTTAACTCAGTCTTTCTTTCTTTCTTTTCTATTTTCTTGATCTGTTTTTCTTTCTTCAGAATGCTTTTTCTTTCTTTTTCTCTTTTTTGATCTATTTCTCTCGTTCTGTTTTTTTTATCTCAGTAGTTCTTTCTTTCTTTCTTTTTCTTTCTTTCTTTCTTTCTTTCTTTCTTGTCTTTCCACTCAGGCAGCCTTTCTTTTAACTTTCAAAATGTTCAAGTCAAGTGTCAATCATTATATATCTTCTTTACCATCATAATCTTCACCGCCTACATCTATCTATCTATCTATCTATCTATCTATCTATCTGTTGCAGTCATCTGAACACTCGACTTTAAAAGCCTGTTCTTTCAACAAAGCTCTCCATGTTCGGAATCATACATGCAATCGGACATATGTCGTAATGTTCATTCAATCTCTGTCAAGTGTCAATCAAATTTTAATATCTATCTATCATCTATCTATCTATCTATCTATCTATCTATCTCAACTGTTCATTATCTATTCTGTCTAAACTGTTAATTATCTATGTGGCACCTTGCATTATTAGAAATATTCATAGAAATATGATTTAATTTTTTTTACTCGGTTTACTAAACAGGTTGTTGATTTTTTTTAAAACGGAAAATAATTGAGTTGAAAATAATTCACTAAGATTGTACTTAGACGATCCTAAGGGAAGAAGGGAAAGAAAGGAGGGAAAAGAGAGAGGAGGAGGAAGAAGAGGAAAGAGGGAGAGTTGGATGATATCCCAGTCATAAGCTAAGTGTCAGAAAGATATCTTGGCCTCGTGTGGCCGAATTTTTTTAAAGACAATTGGAAGAATAGAATTATCTAAAGAGAAAGAAAGAAAGAGAAAAAGCAAAAGAGAGGTCTATCTTAACAAAAACACGTCTCAGAAAGGTAATTAGGCCAACATCTTGGCCGATTTTCTAGGGATTATACATTTTGATAAGAATGTATAAACATTGATAATAAAGAAAAATATCGGTCGACATTTTTGCGTAAAAGACTCATTGTCAAATTGGAAAAGGGGATTTCTTTTTAAAACAATAGAAACGAAATTTTTTTTTAATCAGAGAAAAGGTGTTTTTTGGGTTGAGGGGAGTGACCGGTGGAACTATATACAGATCCTGGACCTATTAAAATTAGAAACCTACGATAATAAAGTTTTTTCAAAGATAATTAAGATTTTCTGACTGTCGGGTCTGACAAAGACGGGAGGTGAAGGGGACGATGTCTCAGTTCACAGCTAGCGCCAATATTCTTCCCTGAAGTCACATCTAATTAGCGGCGGGCTGTTTGAATGAGAGAAAGCCAAGATTGTCATTTTTCGTATGTGCAGAAAAGGCAAAAATTGGATTTTGTTTTTTTAAAAAAAGAAACGATGTAACCACGCCCGAAAGGAGGAGAAAGGATGCTCGATCAATCAATTGGTCGGAAACGGTCTGATCTGCAGAAATGCCCGATCAGGAACCATTGGTCGAAAAACGGTCACCCTGACATCCGTCCCCACAAAAAGGCACTGTGTATAGGGGTGAAAACAATAGCGATAATGAAATTTTAGAAATAAGGCAGCTATTGGAATTATTGAAAAACCCTACAGACCCACCCCAGTTTGTTGCGGCGTCAATAAAAGCAGGACCCCATCGACAGAAATCATTGAGTGGAGTTGCTATAGAGCTAACGCGGGCATCAACCCGATTCTATTTGCGGGCAAAATCTCATCTTCCAGCCCAAGTCGAAGAAGAAGAAGATCGCTCGAAAGCCGCAGAGAAAGTTACAGCCAAGTCGAAGATAAGAAGAAGAGCTGCAGGCCAGACAGGCCGAATAATTGCAGGCAGACAAGAAGAAGAATTGCAGGCCAGACAGGCAGCAAGAGTTGTGGCAGAGTTACGGCAGAGTTCAGCCCCGGACGGCAGCGAGAAGAGATCACCTCGGACGACAGAGAGTTGCGGCTGAGTTGCGGCAAGAGATCCTTCCAGCCCAAGTCGAAGACAAGAGAACTTCCAGCCTAAGTCGACGAAGAAGAAGAAATACAACTCAAGTCGAAGAGAAGAATCAACTGCGAATGATCGATAGAAATCTATGTCGAACCAAACCACACTCCGACATACACAATTCTAAAGAGTAGGCAATTCGAAATCTTTAGGTTGTGTGATAGAAGCTTGTGCCATAGTCCACAGAGCGGGTCAGGAATTGAGAACAATTTTGTTTTTATGTAACTGACATTAAGATATAAAAGGTTGTTACCCTTTTTTCATCAGCAATCTTTTGTCTCGTTTGTTTATTTTGTCTTTTTAAACTTGTATCGGCCCCAATCCCTGCTGGTCCCGTCTGTTTTATCTAAACACAGCGTACAGACCGGAGATCGGTACAGTTGCTTTATCCAGGTATCTATCATCCAACTATTTGGAACCGGGATCTACGTCTATCTATCTAACCAAGGGATTCGACCCTGGGCCAGGTGTGTAACACTGTTCATTCTATCTATCTATCTATCTATCTATCTATCTATCTATCCTGTTCATTATCTATTCTGTCTAAACTGTTCATTATCTATCTATCTATCTATCTATCTATCTACACCGTTCATTATCTATCTATCTATCTATCTATCTACACTGTTCATTATCTATCTATGTGACGTCACCCCGGCCTCTCCGCGCCCGTGCTATCCTGTGACGACCAATGTGACTTGGTATTGGTCGCGGCGCCAAATGTGACGTTCTAACCCTTGGCTGATTTGGATGGGAATCTGGTTAGATTCGGTATCAGCTTTGTCGTTCCCAGCTCGCCTCCAACGCCTGGTTACCGAAGTAACTGCTTTGGTTTCTAGTCTAACCTACCCACGTTGTGATTTGATCTTAGGTAGACGAAATCAATCAGTTGCCGGGCCGTAATGCGAGCCGAATTCGAGCAAAGGTGACATCGCACAAGTATATGTAAAAGAAAATGAAGTAACAATTCGAAAGATTCAAATGTGTTAAAAAAAAGAATAACAAATATTTTTATATCTGGTTGCTGAATACATGACAGCGTCTTTCTCCCAAACCGCTAATATGGATACGTGACACTTTGCGTTTGTTAGGCGAGTCTTAATATCTTAAGTTGTTTTTCAATAACTGGTTTTTGGTATCTTCAGGCGATATTCGTAAAACTTGTTTTGGTGGTGTGAGTCTAAGTCGTTCTTCAAAAATAAATTGTTTTTGGTTAAAAGTCTAAGTCGGAATGCGTGGATATCTTTCAGTCAGCTTCCTGCGAGGCTGGTCTCAGAGCTCACAGCTCAACGCTGTCTGCGTCTGCGTCTCCTCGGAACTCTGCCGAACTCTGCTGAACTCTCACTGTCTACTCCGTTTATATGGACGCTGACCAAAACCGGGTGTGGGCCTGTCGTGGTTTGGGTTTCTCGATAATTCCAAATCCACAATAAGGATTTTCTTTGTTTTCGGACAGGAAAATTTATCACTTTCCATTTTTGGAAGTCCATTACTTTCTGCTTTAGGGGGTTCTTAAGGGAATCGTCCTCCAAAATTCTTCCTTTCTCATATTGGTATCTCACACCAACCCCCACAGAGGGCGTCAACAGGTTTCCCTTCTTTCTCATAGTGGTATCTCACACCAATCCCCTCAGAGGCGTCAACAGGCTTCCCTTCCTTCTCATATGTTTACCTTCGCCCACCGCTCACGCCACCACTCAGCCAATGAACGCTCGGCAGCGTGGGTGTGGCCAGTCTGGCCTCAGTTTAAAATTCTCAAAGGAAAAAAAAATTATCTTCTTTTTTTTTTCTTTTCTTTCTTTTTCTCGATCAGACCCCTACGACTCGTAGTGTGGTCCTTAATCTCTATCTTAACCGAATGTCATCTGGAATTTATCAACGAGATTTTCGCCAAGCGTCAAATGGGTGGTCAACTGGACGTCTTCGCACCCTGTCGCCAGCGATCTGTCCCGGCAACAAACTTTTATCATGTCCAGGTCTGGATATAAAACAGGTGTCTCTCCAAAACCAAATGATATCTCCGAAAGATAGTTAATGGTTTATTCTTTTCCCTTCTTCTCTTTTCCCTTCCTTTTTCTTTGGGGGTGGTCGCGATTATCTTCCAGCATTCTGTTTTGTAGGCCACTTGACCAATTTGAAATTTTCATTATTGCCATGGGCAGATTGTTATCTTTATTCGCCGCGTCATAGCATAAATTAATTCCGACAGATCCGAGATCTTACGAATTTCCTATCTTCTGCGAAAAAAAACAAAATAAACGTTTTTTTCGCAAATGAAAATAAAATCTTTACCACTTTTCTTTGTTAAAAAAAATAACATCGCTCAGTATGTCTTTTCGTAATAGCTTCTTCTCGCCTTAATTATTTCTCGCTTTTAATTTTCACGCGACCGCTAAAGAGTGTCCATCTATCTATCTATCTATCTATCTATCTATCTATCTATCTATCTATCTACACTGTTCATTATCTATCTATCTATCTATCTATCTATCTATCTATCTATCTATCTATCTATCTATCTATCTATCCTGTTCTGTTATCTATCTATCATATTTATTCAAGAAGACTTAAGAGTCTTAGCCGCGACAACCAGTTATAAATGAAAAATTGGCGGGGGAAATGATCAGAACGACCATTTAAACTTTCCCTCGAAACATTTTGGCATTCATTTAATTTGGATCCTATAATCTGGTTCTTATACAAAAGACGTCAAATTTAGACAATTCGCGGTCTTTGCCTAACGTATCCAGACATTTTGAATATCTTATTAATCAATTGAACGGTCATGATAGCCTATCACGGGATTTAACCGTGAACTCGAGAACAGGGACACTCATCAGTTTACTGAAACTTTAATGAGAGAGTTTGTGTGTTGCGTAACCATTACATACACAATGATCGAGTTTCTGCACATCTTGAGCCGGCTTCATTTTAAAAGAGTAATGGATAGCGGCTCGTATTGAGGAATCGGAGAGCCGAGTTCAAATTCCACTCGAATCCATTACATTCACTTACGTGCTAATACCCTTGGGAAACGTGTGAATCCTCTTCTTCTTCCTCCAGCTATGGATAAATAGCAGGACAGACTAGGTTCTATAGCCTTGGATGGCAACTGGTCTAGAAAGACAACTCTGAATTCAAAACCTGCAGAGGGTCGTTTGGGGACCTTGTGGCACGTAGTGCAACAGGTCTCTGTCTTCGGCCCTTCAAAAAGTGTGGCTGTTCCTGCACGAAAACTTCACCACTATAATCAAATCTCATGTGCTGTTGTCGGGCTGCCGGTTTCCTGGAAACTGATCTGCTTGACCCTCATAGGGAGAGTCGAGTAGTACACAGACACACACACACACACACACACACACACACACACATATATATATATATCCGAGAAATCTCAAAGAAAATATGTATCCTCCGACTGAAATCGAACCTGTATCGTACACTGAACCGCCATATTGCCTGACGTGCTATACTATTTAGTTATAGATGATCGTCTGGATAGCACTGTTGAATTACTGTTTTTGAACTACAAACTTCCTATGATTTCTCTCGGACGTTCATATCTGCTGGAAGCGTATCTTAACGTAAATAAATGATATATTATGAAATGTATTATTTTCTATGAAAATTCCTCGGACATTCAGGCCGGTAAATGTAGTCAATACTGTTTATTATAAACAGAGCATTTACTTAAACATTTGTATCTATAAAAATAGCATATAAACAAAAAATATATTAAAATAATTGTCGGATTTGGTCCATTTCATATATATATATATATATATATATATATATATATATATATATATATATATATATATATATATATGGTATATGGTATGATGAAAATAAATATTAAATATAAATAATAGTCATTGTAGCAAATATTATCTTAGATAAGGATAAGGGATATAATGAGAAGATACAGGGAAAGGATGAGAAAAGAGAAAATGCATAAGATGATGGATAATGTTAGTTAGTAACCGTGGAATTTCCACGGCCTCTATAGACTCTCGATCACAATTTTATACCAAGCTTTTCTTCCATTCATATCAGATACCTTTAATTACCATTTTTAACTGTAACGCTCTACTTTGAGTAACTCTTGAGCCTTGTATTAGGTGAAATTTATTTTTCATAAGAATAGATAAATAAATGTTGGTAAAACAAAATACTCACCTGGTACGGCAATTTCTTCAATTGATCTTTTCGTAACGTGTGACATGTAACCCAATACAGAAAAAACAACGAAGCCCGCAATAAAACTAGTAAAGCAGTTGATAATACTTGTTGCCATAGCATCACTAAAAAACATAAAATTAAAAAAAGAACGATAAATTTTATAATGGAAAGACAAACCTCGGAACAATTCATTAAGCTGCAAAAGCTATTGTTAACCTCGACAGTTACAATTTTTGGTTGATAATGCCTATGTATATAAGATATCAATAGGGGAGTGGTTTGTCTAAGTTTCCACCCAACCGTTGTTTTTTCAGCCTCGGTATCTTTCTAAAACATAGGTCGGCAACCTTTTGAAGAGAGCAGGCCAGAAACTATGCAGTGTCTCGGAGGGCCATAATATCAAATGTATTTTAACAAATTGTTTGCTTATAGTTCGATAACTCCTCCACAACAGAATCGCACTATTCTGCTACTTAACCAATAGGTGGAAGATAGATTCGTGTCTTAGCCAAAGGCATGAACGCGCCGTGAGCGAAACGGAATTGGAAATCGTCGTCGCCCAAAATTTGTTATATCCCAGGTTGTTTGGTTGAACAATGAACAAAAACGAATGAAAATAAGACACGTATTTTACACTTTACATTATTCGGACTATTGTCCTCATCTTTGTCGCCATATTTATTACAACGTTTCGGCCTTTCAGTATCTGTCTATATTTCTGAAATGAGGTATTATGTACACTATTTACATTGTTCGGACTATTGTCCTCATCTTTGTCGCCATATTTATTACAACGTTTCGGCCTTTCAGTATCTGTCTATATTTCTGACATGAGGTATTATGTACACTATTTACATTGTTCGGACTATTGTCCTCATCTTTGTCGCCATATTTATTACAACGTTTCGGCCTTTCAGTATCTGTCTATATTTCTGACATGAGGTATTATGTACACTATTTACATTGTTCGGACTATTGTCCTCATCTTTGTCGCCATATTTATTACAACGTTTGGGCCTTTCAGTATCTGTCTATATTTCTGAGATGAGGTATTATGCACACTATTTACATGATTCGGACTATTGTCCTAATCTTTGTCGCCATATTTATTACAACGTTTCGGCCTTTCAGTATCTGTCTATATTTCTGAGATGAGGTATTATGCACACTATTTACATTATTCGGACTATTGTCCTAATCTTTGTCGCCATATTTATTACAACGTTTCGGCCTTTCAGTATCTGTCTATATTTATGAGATGAGGTATTATGTACACTATTTACATTATTCGGACTATTGTCCTCATCTTTGTCGCCATATTTATTACAACGTTTCGGCCTTTCAGTATCTGTCTATATTTATGAGATGAGGTACTATTTACATTATTCGTACATTGTCCTATTTTGTCGCCATTTTATTCGGACCTTTCAGTTGTCCTATTTAATCTTTTCGTCCTAATCATATTTATTACAACGTTTCGGCCTTTCAGTATCTGTCTATATTTATGAGATGAGGTATTATGTACACTATTTACATTATTCGGACTATTGTCCTCATCTTTGTCGCCATATTTATTACAACGTTTCGGCCTTTCAGTATCTGTCTATATTTATGAGATGAGGTATTATGTACACTATTTACATTATTCGGACTATTGTCCTCATCTTTGTCGCCATATTTATTACAACGTTTCGGTATTTTAGTATCTGTCTATATTTATGAGATGAGGTATTATGTACACTATTTACATGATTCGGACTATTGTCCTAATCTTTGTCGCCATATTTATTACAACGTTTCGGCCTTTCAGTATCTGTCTATATTTATGAGATGAGGTATTATGTACACTATTTACATTATTCGGACTATTGTCCTCATCTTTGTCGCCATATTTATTACGACGTTTCGGCCTTTCAGTATCTGTCTATATTTATGAGATGAGGTATTATGCACACTATTTACATGATTCGGACTATTGTCCTAATCTTTGTCGCCATATTTATTACAACGTTTCGGCCTTTCAGTATCTGTCTATATTTATGAGATGAGGTATTATGTACACTATTTACATTATTCGGACTATTGTCCTCATCTTTGTCGCCATATTTATTACAACGTTTCGGCCTTTCAGTATCTGTCTATATTTATGAGATGAGGTATTATGTACACTATTTACATTATTCGGACTATTGTCCTCATCTTTGTCGCCATATTTATTACAACGTTTCGGCCTTTCAGTATCTGTCTATATTTATGAGATGAGGTATTATGTACACTATTTACATTATTCGGACTATTGTCCTAATCTTTGTCGCCATATTTATTACAACGTTTCGGCCTTTCAGTATCTGTCTATATTTCTGAGATGAGGTATTATGTAGACTATTTACATTATTCGGACTATTGTCCTAATCTTTGTCGCCATATTTATTACAACGTTTCGGCCTTTCAGTATCTGTCTATATTTATGAGATGAGGTATTATGTACACTATTTACATTATTCGGACTATTGTCCTAATCTTTGTCGCCATATTTATTACAACGTTTCGGCCTTTCATTATCTGTCTATATTTCTGAGATGAGGTATTATGTACACTATTTACATTATTAGGACTATTCTCCTCATCTTTGTCGCCATATTTATTACAACGTTTCGGCCTTTCAGTATCTGTCTATATTTCTGTGATGAGGTATTATGTACACTACTTACATTATTCAAATTATTGTCCTTATCTTTGACGCCATATTTAATACAACGTTTCGGCCTTTCAGTATCTGTCTATATTTCTGTGATGAGGTATTATGTACACTACTTACATTATTCAAATTATTGTCCTTATCTTTGACGCCATATTTAATACAACGTTTCGGCCTTTCAGTATCTGTCTATATTTCTGAGATGAGGTATTATGTACACTATTTACATTATTCGGACTATTGTCCTCATCTTTGTCGCCATATTTATTACAACGTATCGGCCTTTCAGTATCTGTCTATATTTCTGAGATGAGGTATTATGTACACTATTTATATTCTTCGGACTATTGATCTCATCTTTGTCGCCATATTTATTACAACGTTTCGGCCTTTCAGTATCTGTCTATATTTATGAGATGAGGTATTATGTACACTATTTACATTATTCGGACTATTGTCCTAATCTTTGTCGCAATATTTATTACAACGTTTCGGCCTTTCATTATCTGTCTATATTTCTGAGATGAGGTATTATGTACACTATTTACATTATTAGGACTATTCTCCTCATCTTTGTCGCCATATTTATTACAACGTTTCGGCCTCTCAGTATCTGTCTATATTTCTGTGATGAGGTATTATGTACACTACTTACATTATTCAAACTATTGTCCTCATCTTTGACGCCATATTTAATACAACGTTTCGGCCTTTCAGTATCTGTCTATATTTCTGAGATGAGGTATTATGTACCTTTACATTATTCGGACTATTGTCCTCATCTTTGTCACCATATTTATTACAACGTTTCGGCCTCTCAGTATCTGTCTATATTTCTGTGATGAGGTATTATGTACACCATTTACATTATTCGGACTATTGTCCTCATCTTTGACGCCATATTTAATACAACGTTTCGGCCTTTCAGTATCTGTCTATATTTCTGAGATGAGGTATTATGTACACCATTTACATTATTCGGACTATTGTCCTCATCTTTGACGTCATATTTAATACAACGTTTCGGCCTTTCAGTATCTGTCTATATTTCTGAGATGAGGTATTATGTACATTATTTACATTATTCGGACTATTGTCCTCATCTTTGTCGCCATATTTATTACAACGTTTCGGCCTCTCAGTATCTGTCTATATTTCTGTGATGAGGTATTATGTACACTACTTACATTATTCAAACTATTGTCCTCATCTTTGTTGCCATATTTATTACAACGTTTCGGCCTTTCAGTATCTGTCTATATTTCTGAGATGAGGTATTATGTACACCATTTACATTATTCGGACTATTGTCCTCATCTTTGACGCCATATTTAATACAACGTTTCGGCCTTTCAGTATCTGTCTATATTTCTGAGATGAGGTATTATGTACACCATTTACATTATTCGGACTATTGTCCTCATCTTTGTCGCAATATTTAATACAAGGTTTCGGCCTTTCAGTATCTGTCTATATTTATGAGATGAGGTATTATGTACATTATTTACATTATTCGGGCTATTGTCCTCATCTTTGTCGCCATATTTATTACAACGTTTCGGCCTCTCAGTATCTGTCTATATTTCTGTGATGAGGTATTATGTACACTACTTACATTATTCAAACTATTGTCCTCATCTTTGACGCCATATTTAATACAACGTTTCGGCCTTTCAGTATCTGTCTATATTTATGAGATGAGGTATTATGTACATTATTTACATTATTCGGACTATCGTCCTCATCTTTGTTGCCATATTTATTACAACGTTTCGGCCTTTCAGTATCTGTCTATATTTCTGAGATGAGGTATTATGTACACTATTTACATTATTCGGACTATTGTCCTCATCTTTGTCGCCATATTTATTACAACGTTTCGGCCGTTGTACGCTCCGGCCTTCTTCAGGTGGTTGGAATGTCAAACTGAACACTTTATTTCGCTCCTAAAAGAAAACATGGCACAGTGGATAAAGGCGTTAGTTAGATCCAGTGACAGGACCCAAAGTGTGTGAGTTCGATACCCGGTTAAGGCGGTGGAGAACTTGGAGAGGGGGATTAACGGAAGATAACTGACAACTGACATCCATTAAATATGGCACGTGGAACTAGAACAGTCTACCCCAGTCAGCGAAATAAAGGGTACACTTCGACATTCCAACCACCTGAAGAAGGCCGGAGCGTACAACGGCCGAAATGTTGTAATAAATATGGCGACAAAGATGAGGACAATAGTCCGAATAATGCAAATAGTGTACATAATACCTCATCTCAGAAATATAGACAAATGTATTTTAACACAAAATAAAATAACTTTTATTCATTTACTTCCTGAGAACACCGAGGATTTGTTTGGATTTAAATCATGAATTGCCAGATGCGTGTTAGCTTGTAACCATGTTGAATTCATAAGTGTCGACTTCGACTAATGGACAAGGGAAGTAACTCAAATAAATTTAAATACAATGTCAGTCGTTATCTTCTGCTTTTTAAATTCCTGTTCTTTTATTGTTCTCTCTCCTTAAATAGTATTTCTTTTTCTTCTCTTCTTTCACACTTAGTAACCCCTATAAAGAGTATATTTTAAAAAACTTTTCCATTATAAAGAAACGTTGACCGTAGTTATTCAAAAATGAAGAATCAATGAAAATAGTGATATTCTTTTTTTTTCTTAGATAAAAACTTAAACAATAAAGTCAAACTGCGGTTTAAAATGCTTGCTTATTTTTTACAATAAGGTTCATTCTTTACAAGACCTGGGAGCCTCTCGAGATAGAGGGTTACCTTAGGAAGCCATTTCTATATATATAGGAGTGGAAGATAACGCTTAACCTTAGCCTTGAACAGGTTAAGATTGTAGTGATCGGGGAAACATCCTGTTGGGAGTCGGTTTCACAGGGCAGTGGTTCGCGGGAAGAAGCCGTTCGACTAGAACTTACTTCTCACCGATGGAATACGGAGGGAATGTGGCTGCTTTGCTACTATGTAAGTGGCATGGCGTCTTCTTGTTGTCAAGGTGCGAGACCAGGGAATGTAGTTCATTCGAGCACTTTCTGTGGAAGTAGAGGTAGAACAGCGAGAAGCTTCTCACATTCCGCCTGTGGATGGGTGGATAATAATTCGTTACCCACAAGGACTAGGAGACGCTTTTCCAGATCTAGCAAGCATCATCTTTGAAAATGTCTTCTCACATAAATATTTTTTATAAATATTTCAGGATAATTTTTCTGATGAGCCAGCGTAATATACACACACACACACACACATGAACCAGCGCACACACACACACACACACACACACACACACACACACACACACACACACACACAGAGGAGCCAGTGAAAAATACACATACACACACTCCCACGCACATTCTGAGTGTCTGCTTAGCAAAGTTTAAATTAATGTTTTTGAATAACAAATCTTCGACGATCTTTCCCAAACGATCATATCTGCTCAGAAACGTACCTTAACGTAAACACTGACAACATATTATGAAATGGATTAAATCCAACAATTACTTAATATATTTTCTGTTTATAAGTTATTTTAATAAGATAAAATTTATTTAAGTTAATGCTCTGTTTTTTTTTTAATTAAACAGTATTAATGACATTTACCGGTCTGAGCGTTCGAGAAATTTCGTAGAAAATATGCTTTCTCCAACAGGAATCGAATCTTTGATCTGACGTGCTATACCACTTAGCTATAGAGAAGCGTCTGGTTAGCAAAGTTCAAATAATGTTTATATTTATTCCTGAACGATCATATCTGCTCACAAAACGTACCTTAACATAAACATTGACAACATATTATGAAACTAATTAAGTTCGACAACTATTTGAATTATTTTCTGTTTATACGTTATTTTAAAAGAAAAAACTTATTATTAACCGAATGAATGTAGAATGTAGAAAATATGCGCGCTCACGAAACGCATCTTAACGTAAATAATAACAATATACAATGAAATGGAATAAGTCCGACAGTTATTTGGTATAGCATGTCAGGCCAAATGACGGTTCCGTGTAGGACACAGGTTCGATTCCTGTTGAATAACGCATATTTTCTACGAAATTTTTTGAACATTCAGACCGTTAAATGTAATTAATACTGTTTAATTAAAAAACAAAACAAAAAACCCCAGAGCATTTACTAAAATAAATCGTATCTATTAAATAACGTATAAACATAATATATATATATATATATATATATATATGTGTGTGTGTGTGTGTGTTGAATGTGTTGTATGTGTATTCATGAGTGTGTTACAGTTGGAAAGAAGGAAAGGAAGCTGTGGAGAGTCATGATCTCTTACGTCCTGAAGGCGTGGATCTCCAAGCTTCCTTTCCAATATGCGTTGTTCTTTAGTAATATCAGGAGTTTAACTGAGTTTCATTGATTCCAGTAACGCGTACTCTGTTGCTATAAAATCGGGAAGCAAACGGGTAGGTGGAGCATTGGTAGAGAAAATAGAGTAAAATATCATCGTTACCGATAGCAGTTATTGTCCCTCGGGTTGTAACTAGCGAGCGCAATTAAAGAACCGAATCCGGGGCCGAGAGAGAAACAGATTTGGACGGCGGCGTCAACCCAAACCTGGAAAAAAAAAGGTTATTGATAAGAAGATAGACATACATTCACCCCATATATATATATATATATATATATATATATATATATATATCCAGGTGAGATGAGAACGAATGGAGTGCAATTCCAACGTTCGTAACATTTAATTTAAAAGAGGGCTCAATACAGAGTAGAGCAAAATATTATTTATTTTAGGATATTAAATGAAAAACATGTCAAAAATCGCTACACAATTGCAGTCGGTTTCGACGCATATCAGTGCGTCTCCTCATGTGTTTAACTAAATCTCTTGTTTATCTAAGTACTATTTTTACAATTGAGAATCCGACTGTTGAAAAATTCTATATTAGTAGTGCTAAGAATTCTTTTAAGACCAGGTAGTATCAACATATCTTGTCCTAAACCAATAGTACTTATAGAAATAATACATCACTCTCTAAATGTTTTTGTAGCTTAAAAGATGCTAATAAAACTCTTAGGGTGAAATAGAAAATTTAAAAATTGCTAGAACACGCAAATCTTTATATGAAACCTGTTTTCTGTGTTTACATGAAAAATTGGAAATTATCAGATTTTTTATAAAAACTCCTTGTTAAATCAAAGAAGTGAATTAACTGTAAATTGTAGACATAGTGTATCTTTCACCTTGTAATGTAGCTAAACAAAAAATTACGTAGGAAACTCTCAAGAAATATAACTAGTTGGCATTAAATAACCTCCTCCCACTCGGCTTTTATTTCTTGGGAAAGTTGATTGTCTGATTTGTATGCACTTTATGAATTAATGTAACCATCTCTATCAGTTTTAATCAAATGTCTGTGATATGTTTCAGACAACTTCCTGTCATGACCCTTTTTCTTTTTCGCTTGTTTTGAATTTAACGTAGGTCATTTTTGATTGGTTGATCAAGGACGAACCCTCTAGCCTAAGCAATTCTTTTTCTCGAAAAAAGAAGAGGTATTTTGCTTTTGAAATTAAATTAGCCGTTCACTCGCCAGTAATTTACAATCGCCTGAGGAGACGCATTGTTATGCGTCGAAAAGGACTGTAATTGTGTATCGATTTTGACATGTTTTTTTGATTTAATATCCTAATATATATATATATATATATATATATATATATATATATATATATATATATATATTAAAGTCAAAAAACATTTTGTGTCGATTAATTTTATTAATCGATTTTCCAAATTACAAACAATCCTCATTTAAGGAGGAAATTCCACAAGAAATTGTTTAAAGTCACTGCACACTCTTTTGCCTACGTCACTAGACTCACCGGTTCTACGACACTTACCATTTGCCTTTATCTACCCTGATGATGACAAAGTCGAAAGTCGGGACTATATTTCTTTCAAAATGAACTTTCGACAATTTCTGACGGAATTTCCTTCTCATCTGAGAGGGATTCTTCGCAATTTGGAAAATCGATCAATAAAATGTCTGTTGTCTTTAATAACATTTTTCTTTAAAAAAAATTGCTGCCTAAATACACAAACACACAATATATATATATAAAAGTCACATGGACATTTGACACACATGCGCACACTATGCACCCGGTATATATATATATATATATATATAAACCATACATATGTCCGCACATATAGACGCACACATTCAGAACACACACACACACACACACACACACACACACACACACACACACACACACACACACGACAGACACACAGGAAACAAAAAAGCACACGAGTGCCTCACACACAAGATACTCACAAATACACACACTGCTTGCCCTAAAAGCAAAAATACACTGGTAGACCGTTTAATTTCTACCTTCCTATCTCTCTCTACACACACAAACACACACACACACACATATATATATATCCCTTTTATTGCCGTAGTCGCACAATTCACTCGTATTCCTGACATACTATCTCTCTCTATCTACCTCTCTCTCACTCTCTCTCTCTCTCTCTCTATATATATATATATATACACACACACACACACACATATATATATATATCCCTTTTATTGCCGTAGCCGCACAATTCACTCGTATTTCTGACATACTTTTAAAACATTAAGCGTTTAAAGTCAGTTCGCTGTGAACTTACTGGGTTACTGTCGTCATAGCCGTTACTCCCCCCCCTTCCAGAATCCCCAACCCACAATCAAGCGCTAATCCACGGCCTCTCCTGTGCCTTCTGCCGACACTTCTCGGCCTCCATCGACACTTCAGTCTCCACCCCCGCGACTCATCAACTGTAATCCACACCCAGGAAGGAATCATCTTAAAACAAAAAAACTAAAAAACAAAAGAAAAAAAAAAAAACTACAAAAAACAACAAAAGAAAAATTAAAAAAAATAAAAAATTTGTCGACGGTTTGAACTTTTCCTCTCAGTCGCCAAATCCGGTTCCAATGTAACCAGGAAAAAAATAGGCCTCGCCTGGTTTTCATTCGTGAATATTATTTTGCTGAATAGTTTTAAAACACGTGCGTACGCAAATTTACGCTTCATTTAAAGACACACACGCATACGATTGACAAGTCAATCGACGAGAGAGTGCTCTGTGTATCACTTGTCGAAACGCAGTACAATTCATACATATATCGATCAGCACTGGTGTAATAGTTAGCAAACTTGTATCGCTAGATCAATTACGACTGAATTCGATCCTCACTGGGTGCTCCACACTTTCGGCCTTGTGTCACATCTAAGCTCCACTTTGAATACGATTAGAATACTGACTACGATCCTCACTGGGTGCTCCACACTTTCGTCCTTGTGTTGCATCTAAACTGCTGTTAGAATATCATTAGAATACTGAGTTCGATCCCTACTGGTTGCTCTACACTTTCGGCCTTGTGTCACATCTAAGCTGCACTTAGAATATCATTAGAATACTAAGTTCGATCTTACTGGGTGCTCGACACTTTCAGCCTTGTGTCACACCTAAGCTGCACTGGATGGAGCCAGTAAGCAACGTGAACGCCTTAAAAAAATTGGCAAGAGAAAGAACACTTCTACTCAGAATCATGAAAATACAACTGAAGTAGCTTGGACACATAATGAGGAAAAGGGGCTTAGAGAAATTAACTCTCACGGGAGAGATGGAGTAAGCAACAAGTAAGTCTCAAAGAAAATGGGAAGAGAAAAAACACTTCTACTCAGAACCATGAAAAGACTGCTGAAATTCCTTGGACACATAATAAGGAAAGGGGGCTTGGAGAATTTAAAACTCACGGAGCATATTGAGGGGAAGAGAGATTGGATAATGTAACGGGCTACTTACCTGAAGAGTTTGTTTGAGTAGATGACGGAACGTGGGTGGGGAGGGGTGCTTAGTAAAAGTAGAAATGCTGCTAAGGTCCACAATAGGATAGGAAGTTTTGGAGAGCCATGACCGCCTATGTCCTGAAGATTGCCTGCACATAGAAGCAGTGGGTTTATTTCTCAATGGGTGATCCATTATTTGTGACCTTGTACTAAACTAAGCCCAGTAAAGAAAAAAATGTATGATATATGCATTATATCATGTTGCATGGACCCACAGAAGAAAATGTTTGCAGTGTTCTGTAAAATATACCCTGAAACGATTAAAGCTACCCGGGATATTTGAAAACAACACAGAGGAATGATGACCTCTTAAAGGAGGTTCCTCAATAGAAACTACTTGGGGAGTAATTGGCCGTGGTTAAGTGTAACCGACAAAATGCTCAAAAAGCGGAATTGACAAAGTTCTCAATAAACAATAAGGAAGAAAAAAGAACAGGGTTGAAATAATACTAAGCAATCAATATATATGCAAATCAAAAGTAGGCGAAGACACAGTAATAAGGCAAAAAGTTCACAAAGTAAGAATGTTGTTCATACGAAAAAGACTTCAAAAAAAAAAAAAGAACAAAACAAATATGGCGGATCAGACCGATTTTGTTTTGTTTGTTTAACAGCATATATGACTCTTATGGGTGATTTAATGCCGAAATTTACAAAGTTCTCAATAAATAATAAGAAAAGAAAGAAAATGTATAGGGTAAAATAATACTGAGTAAACAATATACAGTAGCGGCCATAATATAAGGAACGGAAACAACAAAGACATAAATATGTGTATTACTTAAAAAAGTAATGCATGATTAGCAATGAAATTTTTACCGAATAAAGATTAGGGTGTAATGCATAAATATTATACTGGACAAAAGTTAAGGAACGATCTTGTTAATACTTGATTGTGAACAAAATATCAACAAAATTTAATATTTGGTAAACATCCCCTTATTTTCAATGACTTGCCTGCATCGTCGACCACGTGATCTAATTAATTTCTTATAAAAATCAGCAGTAATTCCCTCCCATTCGTCTTTCAATAACTCCCATGGGTGAACCTTGGTTTTTCGGGTTTCTTTTCTGAGCCCTTTCTCCAATTATCCTCCAAACATTTTCTATTGGATTCAGGTCGGGGAACTGGGCTGGCCACTTCATTAGGGCGATTCCTTCTTCTACAAATAAAGCCATAACCTTCTGAGCCTTGTGGCAAGGTGCATTGTCCTGCATGAAAATAGGAGATTCATAAAGATTATGGTGTAATCTTGGTACCACATACTGCTGAAGAAGCCTTTTGTAAATTTCAGCATTGATATTGCCATGTACGCGGATGACAGGGCCAACTCCTGCAGATGAAATCATTCCCCACACCATCACACTGCCACCACCAAACTTAACGGTTTTCTTGACACATTGAGAAGACAGTCTTTCACCTGTTCTACGGCGTACGTAAGTTTTGCCCTCAGAACCAAATATACTAAACTTGGACTCGTCACTGGAATGAACTGTAACCCATTGTGCGTCAGTCCAAACAAGATGCTCTCTCGCATACTCCAGGCGTGCCCTTTGGTTTCGCTTTGAAATGAGAGGCTTCGAAGTTGGAATACGGGCATGAAATCCTGCATTTTTTAACCTGCGAGCAACCGTTTTCCTTGAGATCTTATTGTCTGTCTCTTCATTAAATTTACGGGCAATTGATGTAGCAGTTTCAAAACGGTTTTTTATAGATATTCTAACAATTCTTCGATCTTCTCTTTGCGATGTCTTTGGAGGTCTGTCGATTTTTGGTTTTGCATCTAACGTTTTATCGGTTTTATACCTGCTAATTACACGATGAACGACACTTTTAGACCTATGAACAATATCAGAAATTTCTGAAACTGACTTTTTTCTTGGTAGTTAGCGATAATGAGATTTTTTCAAAAGAAAGCGTTTTTCGTGTAGAATTTGCCATATTGCTTAAAAATAAAGTCCTAATGATAAATGAACTTTTACTTATTGTTGAAAAGCTCCATCGAGTTTTTTAACAATGTAAATTAAAAGTTTATGCAAATTATTAACATCGTTCCTTAACTTTTGTCCAGTAGCTTATTTCCTTTGTTCTATTTAATCTTTATTTTTAAAAAAAACTATTATGTAAATTTTTGTAACTTTGAATAATATTTATGCATTACACCCTAATCTTTATTCGGTAAAAATTTCATTGCTAATCATGCATTACTTTTTAAGTAATACACATATTTATGTCTTTGTTGTTTTCGTTCCTTATAATATGGCCGCTACTGTATATGCAAATCAAAAGTAGATAAAGACACAGCAATAAGGCAAAAAGTTCACAAAGTAACAATGGTGCTCATACGAAAAAGATTCAAAACAAAACAAAAAAAGAACAAAAATATGGCCGATCAGACCGATTTTGTTTTATTACCATGAAAGTATTTGTAGAAAAGACACAGAGAGGCAACCTTACGGCGGTAGGAAAATGACTGGAGCCGAGCTGCCAGATCAGGACCGATAATATTACGGATTCTTCTTTGGGTTTTATCAAGGAGCTCAAGGTAAATAGCAGGAGCACCGAACCATATCTGGCAGCAGATATTCTAAGCATGAAAGAATGATAGATTTATAGATATATATGATAGATTCTGGAGAGAAAAACTGTCTCGCACGACTCGGTGAACCAACTTAAAAATAATTCACAAATTACATTTCTGTGGACTTGGGGAGCACAAGGCTACATTTCAGGGCGCATTAGTGAGCCCGGGCCTCATCGGTTGAGAAACGCTGCTCTGGAACACTTTTTTTTTTCACATAACATCTGTATTAATTGAACAGGATTAGTTCTTTCTCAGAAATATATTTTGGTGGAGGTGTGGGGGATTGGCCATGGTTAAGTGTAATCGGCAAAATGCTCAGCAAACGAAATTGGCAAAGTTCTCAATAAACAATAAGAAAGAAAAAGAACAGGGTTGAAATAATACTAAGCAATCAATATATCTGCAAATCAAAAGTAGGTAAAGACACAATAATAAGGCAAAAAAGTTCACAAAGTAACAATGGTGATAATAAAAATAAAACAATACTTTTTAAAAAGAAGTTACAAAACTATAGAACCCAAAATTGCTCGCTCGGACTTGAAACCGCTTCGACTTCGCTGGATAGATTTGTTTTCGAGCAGAACAACAACAAAATATTCCACTCCAACCTCAACATCTTCAATCTTGCCACCCTCGGAGTTTTCTGAGATTCTATTGAGTTACCCCAGGATCGACAAACACATGATCAAGAGATATTGACAAACGGTGTAAAAATATTGGTTGTCAGATGTCATAGGGGCCCCACCCGCAATTACAATGCCGTCATTTAATTTTCATAACGAATAAATAAAATTTTCGAAGATTAAATATGGAAAAAAAGGTACGCTTAAAATTTTTGTCGAAAAAAAGTGTATTTCTTAGTAATCACGGTGCACATGTACTGTACATATTAATGGCAGTAAATACGAAATGTTATAATTTGAATTATTCATTTATTGTTTTAAATTTTAAGTAATTGGTCGACACATTTCAATAGTTTACTGCCAAATTTACACATTAAGAGATATTTGAAAAGCATAACAGAGCATTACCCGGACCCACTATATTAAGGGCAATCGTTTTGTGTTCACTCGATGACTGTGCGAATCTGTCAATAATTGTTTCTGAATCCAATTCATGTAGTAATTTCTTTTTCAATGTATAGTAACATGTATGATTTCAAATTCTCAGGCACCGTACATTTAATTTTTTGGGGTGCAAAAATGTGTATTTCTTAGTTATTCAAGTTTACATGTGGCGTATATATTACTGACAGTAGATGCAAAATGAAAATATAGAATCTTATAATTGGATTTTTCATTTATTTTTAGAATTTTAAGTAATTGGTTGATATTTTAAATATTAATAGTTTACTGTCCGATTTAGACTTTTAAAAGATAGTTCAACATCATAAGAGAACATTGCATACTGTTCACTATGTTAACCTTTGCATTCCTGATCAGTGTTAATCCCTGCGTCCCTTAACAATTTTAACCCTTTGATCCCCGCGTTCCTGAACAATTTTAACAGTTTGATCCCTGCATCCATTAACAATTTTAACACTTTGATCCCTGGTTTCCTGAATAATTTTAAACATTTGATCGCTGCGTCCCTGAACAATTTTAAAAATTTGATCCTTCTGTGCCTTAACAATTTTAACCCCTTGATCCCCGTGTTCCTGAACAATTTTAACCCTTTGATCCCTGTGTCCATTAAAATTTTAACCCTTTGATCCCTTCGTTCCTGAACAATTTTAAACATTTGATCTTTGCGTCTCTGAACAATTTTAAATATTTGATACCTGTGTGCCTTAACAATTTTAACCCTTTGATCCCCGCGTTCCTGATCAATGTTAACCATTTGATCCCTGCGTCCCTTAACAATTTTAACCCATTGACCCCTGCGTTCTTGAACAATTTCAACCCTTTGATCCATGCGTCCATTAACAATTTTAACCTTTTGATTCCTGCGTTCCTGAACAATTTTAACCCTTTAATCCCCGCGTTACTGTAAAACTTTAACCTTTTGATCCATGCGTCCATTAACAATTTTAATTCTTCTACCTGAGCTCCTGAATCAAAATTCGCAAATAATTGATATGCAATGTTTCACGGTAGATATAAAAATAGTTTACCCACCGTTCAACCGGTGGCTAGGCATTAAGTCATTTTTCTCTACCACTGGTCAACCGGTGGCTGGGCATTACGTCATTTTCTTTACCACCGGTAAAGCGGTGGTAAGGACTCAAAGGGTAAAGGGCAATCGTTTGTCTTCAATAAATGATTGTGCCCATCTGCCAATCATTGTTTCTGAATCCAATTCATCTAACAATTCCATTTCAATGTATGATCCCAAATTCTCCTCAGGTAGCGAATTTCATAATCTTGTCTTGATCTCGAGCTTTTAAGATGTCTACTCACGAAACCTTACTTTTGGAGTAAGGTCACGTCTGCTTATCATCTCTCAGTTGCGTCTCTGCCTTTGGGTAGTGTGCGCTCAGGGGCTTTTCTGTCAAAGGACAGAGGTGCAACTGAGAAAATTATACTGAGAGGTACCCAGCCCTGGGGAACAGCTGGTCGAGGCCGCGCCCTCCCATTGCACCAGAGGGAGGCATCAGTGTTTTTTGTTCCTGTCCCGGGCGTACGTGCTCGGGTCCCACCTAAAAATAGACCTCACAGATGAAGAGGAGACTTGAGCCAACAGAAACAAAGAAAAGAGTGCTGGACTGCTATGTAATATCAATCCTCCTATATGGCAGTGAATGATGGACAATTACTTCACTGATGAAGAAGAGATTTGAGGCAACAGAAACAAAGAAACGATAGCTGAACTGCTATGTAATATCAATCCTCCTATATGACGATGAATGATGGACAATTTCCCCACAGAGAAAGAGGAGACTTGAGACAGCAGGGACAAAGGAGAGAGTCCTGAACTGCTATGTAATATAAATCCATCTATATGCCAGTGAATGCTGGACAATTTCCTCACAGATGAAGAGGAGAATTGGAGCAACAAAGATCTAGTTCTGCAGATGAATGCTAGGAATGCAATTGACGGAGTATGGGAGCTACGGGGAAGTCTTGAGGAAAATGGAAACAAAAAAGGACATTAGTGCTTAGAATAAAATATCGAAACTGTTTAAACATTTGGGACACATAATGAAGAAAGAAGGCTTGAAGAGTTTGACACAGGCAAAAGTGGCAGAGGGGTAAAGTACTCTTCCTAATTAGATTGGGGAGGGGGAGTGTGAGGGGATAAACCTTGGTTCTATTTACAAAGTATAGTACCAGATACGGCATATAAAAAAGACGATACTTACCTTATACTCAAGGAGACGGTGCCATTGAGGCTTAAGGTAAAAGAAAATACCTTCTCCTGCGCCCGGGAGCGTACAGCCGCGGACCAGTAAAATAAACAAGACGACATATGGTAATGTCGCTGTCACCCAGACGGCCTGGAGAAAAGGAAAAAAGAAAGAAAGAAACGTAACGTTACAAAAAACAAAAAAAAACAAAAACAAAAACAAAAAACAACCCAAAAAACAAACAAACAATTACTTCCTTAGAAAGAAAGAAAAATGTACTTTACTGTTATACAATATTAACCCTCCTATATGACAGTGAATGCTGGACGATCTCCTTACTGATGAAGAAGAGACGTAAAGCAACAGAGGCGTGGTTCTACAGAAGGATGCTGAGAATACCGCAGATGAAATATTTGAACAGCGATGAAATTTTAGAGAAAATGAAAACAAAAAAGAAACACACACTTAGAATAAAAAAGAAACAGTGGAAATTTCTAAGGGCACATATTGAGGAAAGAGGGTTTGGAAAATGTAACACTCACAGGACATATCGACAGCAGCGAATAACCTACCTAACGAGATTATGCAAATGATTGGCAGAACAGGAATTAGGAAAAATAGTAAAAAGAAATAGTTATCATGACTTACAAAGGACATGAAGTTGTGGAGGGTAATGATCGCCCACGTTTTGAAAGGAAACGGCACATAGAAGAATTCACACATAGGTAACCCTTACTTACGTATTGCTGTCAGTAGGAAATGCAAGTGTAAGTTCTATTCTAGTAGTTTCTTTACTTGCACTTCTCGCCTGTGGACCTCTGTATCGATTTCTTGCTTCCCTGCCGAGTACAATCTTCAAGCATCTTGGGTATAACCATAAACTACATCCGGCAACAAGGCCTCTGATCGGGAGATTTTGAGGAGAGAGGAACCACCTCTTAATTGCTGTTATTCCCAGGTCCACCTTGACCCGGTGTAGTAGCACCTGTTAGGGTCCCAGCTATGGGCAAACAGTTAACCCTCAAACTGGGGTGAAAAGTATACTATAAACATTTCCAGCAATATATTTTTGGAAAAAAAATACCAGTAATACATTTGACTCTCGACAAAGACCCTCTTTACAAAAATACGCCAAGGAAACCTACAAACTGATTTCTTACAAAGAATACATATTTTATTCATACGAACCTATCCTAAAAATTGTGTCAGAATTAAATGACCCATTGAGGTGTTGATATGCCGTAAAAAACAAAATAAACCCTTCCAAAAATATTTCAAGGAAACCTGATCTACAAACTTATTTCTTACAAAAAATACATATTCTATTCATACGAACCTATCCTAAAAATTGTGTCAGCATTAAATGACCCATTGAGGTGTTGATATGCCGTAAAACCAAATAAACCCATTTAAAAATACGTCAAGGAACCCTGATCTACAAACTGATTTCTTATGAAGAATACATATTCTATTCATACAAATCCATCTTAAAAATCTTGTCGGCATTAAATAACCCATTGGGGTTGATATACCGTAAAACAAAATAAACCAAACAATCTTCAAAAATTTAAGTACTATGCCAATCATCTTCTATCTTCCTGATAATTTTTTCATTCTCTTTCATTCCCAGTATCCCTCTAGCGTCTTAGTGACATTATCGCCTTGTCTGGTGTGAAATTATTAAAAAAAATGTATCATAATTGTAACTTTCTGTAAATCTGGAATTATTTAACTTTTATGAATAAAAAATCCTATTTCTAAAAAAAATTAATAAACGATCCAGACTTTTTTTTTTTTTAGCTTTTCATGTTTGCATACAAAGATGGCTATGTTTTGATATTGTACAAATGTTAGTCTACGAGCGCTTTCAACCTTGCATCTGGTAATTTTCAAGATCCCGATTTAATTTGGACTTGTCGTCTTCCAACTATGTTGACTTTGTGGACATGTGACTGGCGAGCAAATTCTTCGTTGTTTGAATCAATCGTCACTTGTTGAATACATTCAAAACTACACTTATTGAAGAAAAAAACCCAAAAAACAAACTTCATTGGTCTGTAAAATTGTGTGTATAAAATAAAGAACAAATTAAGACTCTCAAGTCAATATTCTAACAAAATGTTATTGATTATGTAGCTGTCATTGCAGACAGTATTAGCAATGCCACAGTTCTCTTACATCATCTAGAACAGAGGTTAAAAAATTAGGGCACGCGTGCTACACTAAAGTATATATACTATATATTACTATATAAAATATATTGTAGAACGGTTATATTGACCTTGATTTGTATAAAAATCCGTATGCTGTTCGCACACTGAATTATTTTAAAACCTTATGTCGGCAGATAGTTAGCAAAAGGATGCCGACCTCTGATCTAGAAAATGCTGTGTCTGGAAGTTTTTCAATTGATCGTTGAAGCATTGTTTTGGGCCTCTGCGTAGCCACTTGCTGTTGACGAGTTTTCCAAAAAGAATAATACGTGTGAGTCAAATGGGACGTATTCTGGACACGTGACCCCCTCACCCCGGGCAGGATGGGGATCACGTTCTGAACACAAAATTAATGGATTTTATGTTTTACTGAAAAATGTAAATATTTCTAAAAGTAATGGATCTTAGTAATAAACCGCCACACAGGTGTTTGTAAATATAGTCTATTTCTCAAATAAGATATATTTGATAGGATCAGTTGACGATCAGAAAAAAAAATGTAGGGAGTTCCTTTTCATTAGCCCGTAAATTAATGAGCCAGCAATTAAAGAGATTTTCTGATAAAAAAGAAATTTCTGCCTCCAGAGCTTTTCAGCGACAATTTTCACTTGGTACCTAACACACGGGTGGGAAACTGTTAGCATTGGGAATTATCCCTCACTCCATTTTCCCTTTCCGTCACTGAAAAGTTGTCGGCTAAATTTCCATTCAAGGGACAATAAAAGTTTCTAATACATACATTAGGCGTTATGCTATTTAATACTACAAAACAAACATTCTCTCGGTGAAGAGATTTGATTTTTAGCAATAGAAGATGTGCGACTTTGGTATATCGAACTGTGGAGAGTAAAGTTGAAATGTTTTCAACTCGGCCCACCACGAAATAACGATTGTGATCGCCAAACACTTTTTTCAGCCACATAATATTAAAAGGGTGCTCCGAAAGTAATTACGTCTGTTTATATCCGTGAATAGTACAACGTTTGCGGTGGACACAATAACACCATTGAATGGATCTAGTTTTCAACCATAAAAACTATTTTTCTATAACATTCAACATCATTGGCCATGCATTTTTGATGGCGATGAGCAATCTTCTTCATATCAGCCATGTCTGCGTATTATATAGTGCTCTATCGTCGACATGAATGATACACAAAGAAGAATGAGTGCTTAATATATTTATTCAGCACTAGTATCCGCTGCTAACGGATACATACAAAAAAAAAAACACACACAGAACAATATGTTACAAAGACAACTTACAAGGAATAGAGAAGGGTCAAATGCTGTATAGCCAAACGAAGATCAGTTTAGTATCAACTTACTAATGAACTGTTGAAGTCTTTAATTGTAGATTATTTAAGGCTATGGGTCAGGCAATCTGGTAGATTGCTGAAGAGGTGATAGCTATTCTACAATACCATGTTTGTATATATACACAGAGGGAGGGGGAAGAAATAGCTCGGGAGATAGATAATTAGATAGAAAATAATGAACAGATAAATAGATATGAGTCGAGGTGAATGATACACAGAGAAGAATGAGTGTTTAATATATTTATTCAGCACCAGTATCCAGTGCTAACGGATACAGACAAAAATACAGAACAATAAGTTACAAAACAATTAACAAGACAACTTACAAGGAATAGACGAGGGTCAAATGCTGTATAGCCAAACGAAGTAAGATCAGTCCGAACGTTAACCAGCTTAGTATCAACTTATTAATCAACTGTTGAAGTCCTTAATCGTAGATTATTTAAGGCTATGAGCCAGGCCATCTGGTAGATTGCTGAAGGGGTGCTAGCTACTCTACAACACTATCTATCTATCTATCTATCTATCTATCTATCTATCTATCTATCTATCTATTGTATCGTTGAGGTGAATGATATACAGAGAAGAATGAGTGTTAAATATATTTATTCAGCACCTGTATCTGGTGCTAAAGGATACATACAAAAAACGTAGAACAATAAGTTACAAAACAATTAACAAGACAACTTACGAGGAATAGAGGAGGGTCAAATGCTGTATAGCCAAACGAAGTAAGATCAGTCCGAATATTAATCAGCTTAGTATCAACTTATTAATGAACTGCTGAAGTCCTTAATTGTAGATTATTTAAGGCTATGAGCCAGGCCATCTGGTAGAGTGCTGGAGGGGTGATAGCTACTATACAATATACAGTAAGACATATTACTGATAATACGCTCTGAAAGTAATGCTTCCTTTTTATATCTGTGGAAACTACAAAATATGTACAATAGCGTTAATGGGCAGAACGAGTTTTCAACTACAAAATGGTATTTTTACACATTGCCGCCACAGTTAGCTACACATTTTCGAGGTACATTTTACTTTGTCGTTTGCCACCTGTGTTTAGATGATTCTAACGGCTGGATCTCCCTAAATGTTTCGCAATCGACTCATGGATTCTTCTCAGGTAAAATAAGCAGAATAACGTAAAATCGAGAATAAGGTAAAATCGGGAATAAGGTAAACTCGGGTTCAGGTCAAAAGAGGGCATGGGACAACGGAGAGAATAGGTTAAAACGGAAGTAAGGTAAAATAGGAAATAAAAAAGAATAAAAGCGCGAATAAGGTAAAAGAATGATTAAGGAAAAAAAGGGAATAAGGTAAAAGCCAAGTATAAAAGAAAGGAATGCATAAATAAGAGGGTATACAGTAATAGCGGGAATAAGGTAAAAGAAGAAATAAGATAAAAGTAGGAATAAGGTAAAAGAACGATCAAAGAAAAAGAGGTAATAAGGTAAAGGTGGGTCTAAACCAAAAGAAGTTATATTACAAAAGAGGGAATAGATAAAAGCGGGAATAAGGTAAAAGCGGGAATAAGGTAAAAGCGGGTGTAAGTCAAAAGAAGGCATAAGTCAAAAGATGGAATACAGTAAAGCGGGATACGGAAAAAGTGGGCATACGGTAAAAGCGGCAATGTAGAGGGAATACATTTAACAGCGGGAATAAGGTAAAAGCGGGAGTAAGGTAAAAGCGGAAATAAGATAAAAGCACGAATAAGGTAAAAGAATGATTAAGGAAAAAGAGGGAATAAGGTAAAAGCCAAGTATAAAAGAAAGGAATGTATGAATAAGAGGGTATACAGTAATAGCGGGAATAAGGTAAAAGTAGAAATAAGATAAAAGCGGGAATAAGGTAAAAGAACGATCAAAGAAAAAGAGGTAATAAGGTAAAGGTGGGTCTAAATCATAAGTAGGTATACTACAAAAGAAGTAAAAGCGGGAATAAGGTAAAAAAGGGAATAAGGTAAAAGCGGATGTAAGTCAAAAGAGTGCATAAGTCAAAAGATGGAATACGGTAAAGCGGGATACGGTAAAAGTGGGCATACGGTAAAAGCGGCAATGTAGAGGCAATACAGTAACAGTGGGAATAAGGTAAAAGCAGGAATAAGGTAAAAGCTGGAATAAGGTAAAAGCGGGAATCAGATAAAAGAGGCAATAATGTTAAAAGCAGGTGATAAGGTAAAAAGGAATACGGTAAAATTATTTTTTTTTCACTGACCTTTCCTGAAGATTTGATTCCTTTCCATAAAGAAAAATAAACAATAGTCATGATGGCGACAAGACAGACGACGATTGACCCTTTTATGGGGCCAAGCTCGCTCAAACCGTTTGATCGATGAATTTCCAAAACATAGCGCCTAGAGAGAAAAACGACATGTAATTCAGAGGTCACATTTAATATTCGGTTGGAGTAAAAGTTCATTTTCATTTTTCAATAGGTAGCATTTGAACACGTGATTTCGTTTCACACATGTCTGGAATTTATTATGTATACACAAATTGTGACATTTCCACGGGTAATTTTAAATGATACACGTGCGATTGTGAATTTTAAATGATTTTACGTTAAATGTGAAAAGTTAAAAGATATTCATTTTCGTCATTTGATTCTTCTTTTTATTTCCAGGAAGGGGAAAATCGCTACACAAACAGCAAAAGAAGATATGTGCCGTTTGTGGAGATGGTGCCATAGCTGAGTTTATTGTTTATGAGCGTTTCTCTGAGTCCAGAAGTGAAACTCTTAATCTGGGAGGCAGAGAATATTCCAGGTCGCCTGCAATCATTGATGACGACGATCAAATCGATGCGCTGTTTAATAGTAATCCAGGACAGATGACATGGGATATCGCAAAGATAATCCATATATCACGTATGAGAGCTGTAAAGAATTTGAAAACATTCGGATAAGCATTTAACGGGGAAAAAACAATTTAATGGACCACATTTTCATCTGTGTTTCACTGTTCCAAAGGCAACAAAACACCTATTTTTTTTTAACCCCGGTTGGTATCCCAAGAAGTGGATGCCGTGTATCTGGTGGAGTTGGAAAGACACTGTGTATTACGAGATCCTTCCGCAAGAGAAAATGTTCAGAAATGGACAGATTAAAGGCAGTCATCGTTGAAACGTGTCTGGAACGAGCCAATCAAAATGATGTCATTTTTCCTTTAAGACAACGCAATAATAACGGATAATCACGTATTTCGATCCTAACAGAATTCTCTTCACGGGAAGAACTTTAATTCTCTAGAAAACTTTAAAAACCACTTACACCAGTTCCTTAACTAGATGGAAGCATGAAGAGGCCTCAAAGACGGCGAAAGGCAATGGAGTAAGATGGCACATATCCGGTTGAATAAATCTATTATGAAATATTTAAGGCCGGTAAATGTTTTTAATACTGTTTTTTATAAACATAGCATTTACTTAAATATTTGTATCTATAAAAAGAACGGATAAACATAAAAATGTCTTAAAATAATTGTCGGACTTTCTCCATTTCATAATGTGTGACGTCATTTGTTTACATTTAGATACGCATCGAGCAGATATGAATGCACGAAAGAAAATCATGGAGAATTGTGGTTTTAAAACAGGAAAATCGACCTTGTTAACCGAAGCGCTCCTCTGTGGCTCAATCGGTAAAAGCACATCAGGCTATACGATGATTCCGTATAGGCTACCGGTTCAATTCCTGTCGAAGGATGCATATTTTCTATGAAAATTTCTCGGACATTCAAATGTTGTTAATACTGTTTATTATGAAAAGAACATTTACTTAAATATTTGTATCTATAAAAAGAACGTATAAACATAAAAAATGTCAATATATATATATGTCCGGCGTTGCCCGGGGATGTAACAGTAAGAGATAGATCAAGTATCGACCATGATAAAGACTGAAAAATAAAATTGACAAAGAATATTGTTTAAGGTTGACGGACACGCATGTGTCAATTAGTTTTATTTTTATTTTTATTTTTTTTACGAATTGGTCAAACCCAAACTCAAATAAAAACATTGTTTTCAATCGTTATGAGTCTACCGATTGAATAGATTTTTATTATAAACAATTGTCTTGTAAATGGAAATTTTAAAGCATTCTGAATGTAAAAATAAAGAAAAAAAATGTGCAAGATAATAAGAAACACTACCTGCCAAAAAAAAAGTGAAGTTTTGTTGAAATCGGTTGAAAAATGTAGGAAATACGATCCCATATATAAACGAACACACACACACACACACACACACACACACACACACACACACACACACACACACACACAACCTGGGTTTTTATAATAAGTATAACTCGATATGAGTTGTCCCCCTTTCATTCTTGAAACAGCGATGCCTCTTAATCGTGTTTTCAAATTGATTTCGTGCAAAAACAACTGTGTTTTTTTCAATTTTTGGCGCTGTCAGAACCACCGCAAGGTAATTTTACGTAGTCCTGAGAAGTTTTGTTGAAATCGGTTTAAAAATGTAGGAAATCCGATCCAATATATAAACGAACAGACACACACACACAACCTGGGTTTTATAATAAGTATGTGTGTGTGTGTGTGTGAGCGAGAGAGAGAGAGAGAGAGGAGAGGTTCAAAACACATACTGGTTCGGCTTCAAGGATTGCATATACACCGCCCGTCTTTATCTGACAGAGACAAGTGGTCTGTCTGTGAAACTTGAAGTCGAATATTACAGATGTATTGAGATTTTTTTTAGGAGCGACAGTTATAATTGTCCTAGAATTTTGTAACTTTTGTGTAAGCTTACCTGCCAAATTGTGTTATTCCAGAATTATGAAGACAGCTGTAACAGTTCTTTGAACACACCCAACAGAACACGGCTTGTCAAAGCCGACAAGGTTGCAGAATGCAGTCCTGACGTGAAGACAATTTGGAAGCTCACTATGCAATTAAGTTTCGTGTTGACAGAGATGGGCATCAAAATAATCCATCCCCCCCCACACACACAATCTAGACCTTGCTACCCGTGACCTATGGTTGTTCTTCAAGCTGAAGGAGAACCCTAGGGGGCAGACATTTTGAAGGAGGCTGTGACAAGACTCCTGGATACATTCATTTTGAGTGACTTCCATGGGTGTCTTCACCAAGTGACTGGAGCTCTACAAGAAGTGTATTGAGGTCAGAGCACCCAATCATTGCAGGAGATTAAAGTTTTGTACTTCTTTGAAATTAATAAATGTCTCTACTTAAAAAGTCGCAAAACTTTAGGAACTTTTCCCTTATCAATTAACAATCGACGTTCTATATTTTAATATTGATCCCCATGTTTAGAAAAAGATCTGCTCGCCTTCAAATGCGTTAAACTATAGGGTTGGTGCATAATTATCAGGCGTTTTTTAAAACAATATTTATTATGAAAAAAGAAACAATAACAATTCAACAATAACATTTTTAAATGATTATTTTGGAAAGTATCATTATTGACACGAATTTTTATAACCTGAAAATAAAATAATATTTTTATCAAAAAAAGTAAACAAAACAGCATTTTTTTATTAACAAATAACACGCCTACAAAAACGCCTGGTAATTATGCACCAACCAACTAAAATGATTTGCTGAACCATTTGATTTGTTAGGTGATCTGTATTATATATTAATTGGTTTCACCCCATGCAAGGCAGTAAAGCCACTAAGACACAAGGGGTTAATGAGTGTGGAAGAATTAGGAACAGAAATATTAATAATGAGCAGGAAGAGGAAAGAGTAATCAGGAGGTCAGTAGATAGCGATTGACATTGCATTTAAATTTTTGCAGATTAAAGTTGGCTTGAAAGCATGGAGCCGGACGGGAGTACTACAAGCAAGGTAGTAAAGCCACTAAGACACAATTGGTTACTGGGTGTGGAAGAATTAGGAACAGAAACATTAATAATGAGCGGGAAGAGGAAAGAGTAATCAGGAGGACAGTAGATAGCGATTGACATTGCATTTAAATTTTTGCAGATTAAAGTTGGCTTGAAAGCATGGAGCCGGACGGGAGTACTACAAGCAAGGTAGTAAAGCCACTAAGACAAAATGGGTTAATGAGTGTGGAAGAATTAGGAACAGAAACATTAATAATGAGCGGGAAGAGAAAAGAGTAATCAGGAGGACAGTAGATAGCGATTGACATTGCATTTAAATTTTTGCAGATTAAAGTTGGCTTGAAAGCATGGAGCCGGACGGGAGTACTACAAGCAAGGTAGTAAAGCCACTAAGACACAATGGGTTACTGGGTGTGGAAAAATTAGGAACAGAAACATTAATAATGAGCGGGAAGAGGAAAGAGTAATCAGGAGGACAGTAGATAGCGATTGACATTGCATTTAAATTTTTGCAGATTAAAGTTGGCTTGAAAGCATGGAGCCGGACGGGAGTACTACAAGCAAGGTAGTAAAGCCACTAAGACACAATGGGTTACTGGGTGTGGAAAAATTAGGAACAGAAACATTAATAATGAAATGAGCAGGAAGAGAAAAGAGTAATCAGGAGGTCAGTAGATAGCGATTGACATTGCATTTAAATTTTTGCAGATTAAAGTTGGCTTGAAAGCATGGAGCCGGACGGGAGTACTACAAGCAAGGTAGTAAAGCCACTAAGACACAATGGGTTACTGGGTGTGGAAAAATTAGGAACAGAAACATTAATAATGAGCAGGAAGAGAAAAGAGTAATCAGGAGGTCAGTAGATAGCGATTGACATTGCATTTAAATTTTTGCAGATTAAAGTTGGCTTGAAAGCATGGAGCCGGACGGGAGTACTACAAGCAAGGTAGTAAAGCCACTAAGACACAATGGGTTACTGGGTGGGAAAAATTAGGAACAGAAACATTAATAATGAGCAGGAAGAGAAAAGAGTAATCAGGAGGTCAGTAGATAGCGATTGACATTGCATTTAAATTTTTGCACATTAAAGTTGGCTTGAAAGCATGGAGCCGGACGGGAGTACTACAAGCAAGGTAGTAAAGCCACTAAGACACAATGGGTTACTGGGTGTGGAAAAATTAGGAACAGAAACATTAATAATGAGCAGGAAGAGAAAAGAGTAATCAGGAGGTCAGTAGATAGCGATTGACATTGCATTTAAATTTTGCAGATTAAAGTTGGCTTGAAAGCATGGAGCCGGACGGGAGTACTACAAGCAAGGTAGTAAAGCCACTAAGACACAATGGGTTACTGGGTGTGGAAAAAATTAGGAACAGAAACATTAATAATGAGCAGGAAGAAAAAGAGTAATCAGGAGGTCAGTAGATAGCGATTGACATTGCATTTAAATTTTTTTGCAGATTAAAGTTGGCTTGAAAGCATGGAGCCGGACGGGAGTACTACAAGCAAGGTAGTAAAGCCACTAAGACACAATGGGTTACTGGGTGTGGAAAAATTAGGAAAAAACATTAATAATGAGCAGGAAGAAAAAGAGTAATAGGAACAGAAACATTAATAATGAGCAGGAAGAGAAAAGAGTAATCAGGAGGTCAGTAAAAAATTAGGATTGACATTGCATTTAAATTTTGCAGATTAAAGTTGGCTTGAAAGCATGGAGCCGGACGGGAGTACTACAAGCAAGGTAGTAAAGCCACTAAGACACAATGGGTTACTGGGTGTGGAAAAATTAGGAACAGAAACATTAATAATGAGCAGGAAGAGAAAAGAGTAATCAGGAGGTCAGTAGATAGCGATTGACATTGCATTTAAATTTTTGCATTAAAGTTGGCTTGAAAGCATGGAGCCGGACGGGAGTTACAAGCATTAAACAAAATGGGTTACTGGGTGGCAGAAACATTAATAATGAGCAGGAAGAGAAAAGAGTAATCATGGAGGGGAGATACTTGACATTGCATTTAAATTTTTGCAAGTTGTAGTAAACGGGAGTACACAAAGCAAGGTAAAAGCCACTAAGACACAATGGGTTACTGGGTGTGGAAAATTAGGAACAGAAACATTAATAATGAGCGGGAAGAGGAAAGAGTAATCAGGAGGACAGTAGATAGCGATTGACATTGCATTTAAATTTTTGCAGATTAAAGTTGGCTTGAAAGCATGGAGCCAGAGAGCAGTTCTACACGCGCGAAGTTCTAGAAAAGTAACTGTTAGCATAGAACTTACAGCTGCATTAGCTTGCTCAACTCTAAATTGAGGAGATATCGACGTCAGTCTAGTACTGCGCTCATCCGGGCAACTGTCATGAAAGTATTTATAGAAAAGATACAGGGAGGCAACCTCACGGCGATAGGAAAATGACTGAAGCCGAGCTGCTATTCATAATATTGCTGATTTTTCTTTGGGTTTTATGAAGGAACTCAAGGTTTAAAATTGAACGATTACTTCCAATGAGAATCAAGCAAGCTGACAGGCGACAAGGAACAGAAACCACGTGCTATTCGTCCGAAGCAAAATGCTGATATTTCTTTAAAAAAACATTGAATAAAAAGCTTGTTTTGACAGTCAACAATGAAATATTTACTTTATAACACTTTCTTCGTTCTTGAAAATTGTTTTACATTATGATTATTATTTTCTTTAATACGTATCACCCCAAGTAAGGCAATAAAGCCACTAAAACGCAAGGGGTTATAAGATGTGGAGGAATTAGGAACAGAAACATTAGCAATGAGCGGGAAAAGAAAAGAGTAATGAGGAGGATAGTCGATAGCGATTGGCATTGCATTTAAATTTTTGGCAGATTAAAGTTGGCTGGAAAGCATGGAGCCGGAAAGAAGTTCCACAAGCGAGAAGTGCAAGAAAAGAAGCTGTTAGTTTGCAGTTACATCTCGCCAGCTCAACTGTAAATTGAAGAGGTATCGACGCCAGTCTAGATCTGCGCTTAAATTGAGACAGGCTAGGCACAATAGCGAAGCGATAATCCGAACAATTACCATGAAAGTATTTGTGAAAAACAGAGGCAACCTTACGGCGATATGAAAGTGACTGAAGCCGAACTGTCACATCAGGACCAATGATATTGCTCATTCTTGTTTGGATATATATATATGTATAGGATGCAGGTTCGAATCCTGTCTATGAACGAATATTTTCTATGAAAATTTCTCGGACATTCAGGCCGGTAAATGTTATTTAATACTGTTTATCTTAAACAGAGCATTTGCTTAAATACTTGTATCTATAAAATAACAACGTTAAACATAAATAAAAATGTCTTTAATACACACACATATATATATATATGTATGTGTATGTACGTTTGTATATATATTTGTGTATTTTAGATATATGTACATATATGTATGTGTATATTAACGACTAATATTATCAATCTATATATATATATATATATATATATATATATATATATATATATATATATAATGGACTCTGTAAGGTGATTTTGCTTCTTTATATACTTGTCAATTTGGCCATCGCTGTGCAAGACCATCATACAAAGGCGCTGTTGAAGGTGGACGTAGGAGAGGACGCCAACTCAAAAACTGGTTGGACAATGTCAAACAATAAGCAGGTATGACTGTAGCAGAATTGCTGATGTCAGCCGTTGATAGACCGTTGTAGAAAAGAGTTAGTGTGGCTTCTGCATTCGGATCCGACCAACGATTACAAAAATCAAGGGGATGATGATGATGATGATATGACACATGGCTTTCTTCAATCTTTTCTACAAATATATTCATGGCAACTGCTTTTTTCCCTCGTGAGTCGACTACATGGATTTAAGCGTGCTACTAGATTGGCAGTTAGGTCCCGCTGTTTTACTGTTGAAATAGCTAGATGCAACCGCCACTTCTACTCGAACGTTTTCTTTTCCCGCACTTCCTGCTTGTGGAACTCCCTTCCGATTTCTTGCTTCCCTGATAACTACGATCTTCAAAAATGCAACTTTAATCGCCATCTTCTGTCTTCTTGAAGCTTGTTCCTTTTTGTTCTTTCCTCAATCCTCCCCATTTTCAATTTTCTCATTCTCATTCACTTTCACTCTCTGTACCCATCGCGTTCTCGTGTCATTATCGTCTTTCTTTGGGTGGAACGATTAAAAAAAATGCAATTCTTTGTCTTTTGAGCAATGTTTTTAATAAATCTTACCTGTCAAGAAAATTACGTTTTCAATTGTTAAATTTAAAGGCAGTAGTAGTTATAGGAATCTCTTGATTATAAACGCCCATTTTAAAAGCAGTAGTTATGGGAATCTCTCTCTTTTTTTTTTTTTTTGAGCATTTCACCCCAAGCAAGGCAGGGGTGTCACTAGCACGCAAGGGGTTACAGAGAGTGAGAGCAAGAGTAAAGAGGGGGTGTCTGAGGAAAGGATAAAGAGAAGGACGGGGATCAAGATCAAGGCATCAGAAGATGTCTATTGACATTACATTTGAATATTTGAAGATTATAGCTATCAGGGAAGCAAGTAAGGGGAAGGGAGTTCCACAGACGGGAAGTGCGAGAGGAGTTGAAAATGCGGTTTCATTTAACCGTTTCCACAGGGTGGGACCGAAATGCCAACCTAGTAGCATGCTTAAATTCATGCAGTTTGGGAACCAGTGAAAGTAGCTCGTCACAGCAGTTGCCATGAAAATACTTGTAGAAAAGACAGAGGGAAGCCACATCACGTCCGTGAGAAGGTGACTGTAGACGAAATGCCAGATCAGGACCTATCAAAATTGCATATCCGTCTGTGGATTTTGATTATAAACACCCATTTTCACGATTCTTTGATTACTTACTCGAAGAACTCAGCTGCTGATGTCTTGGACATGTTGGTATAGAGAGAATGGTCCATGTCTGGTGCCAAAACGATGCAGCTGTTTGTGTTCCATTCATTTCCGCAACTCGCCCAGGGGAGCTGAGTGTTCAGAGAGGAGAACAGATAAAAAAGAGCCCACGAGATGATGGTATTGTAGTAAAATGCCACCAATACCAGGATGAAACAGATGGCATAGCCCACTCCTGAAAATAGAAAAAAAAACCTGATCGAGTTAGATGGCATATGTAACACCCCCCTCTCTCTCTCTCTCTATATATATATATATATATATGCATGTTTCATTAAATAATATGGACAAGTGTTGTCTATTTATTTTATGTAAATTCTTTTCATATCGTCTGATAAGCTTAATAACATTATCATTAAACGAAGAAAGAAATTCACAATATTGATACATATTTTTTTAATCCTATCTAAGCTTTCGACTTACATAAGCCATTATCAAAGATGACAATTACATTACAATATATTAAGCAATACACGAACAATTTCCTCCACTTGGTCCGAGGTATATATATATATATATATATATATATATATTCACCAACTTAAACAGGGAAACCGTCCAGAATATTTGCAGGAGATTTCGAAGTCCTTTGGAGGCCGTGGTTGACGCCAAAGACGATTTTATTAAATATATTTACTCTAGTATTTCAAGATATTTTTGTGTAATTTTGGTAAACATGTCTGTTAAAATGAGATGTCAGTGTTATTTTCATTCTTGCATAATTTTGAAGACAATTTATACATTGTAGCCTGTATACATATATATATATATATATATATATATATATATATATATATATATATGTATTTTTCGTAATGAAGTTCAATACATACATACACACACATACATATATGTATTTCTTAATGAAGTTCACACACACACACACACACACACACACACACACACACACATATATATATATATATATATATATATATATATATATATATGATTGATTGATGAGTTTGTGACCCTGGGTTTCATGCTTTTTCGATCGTCAGATAAAAAAGCTTAAAAAATAGGAGACAAACTCACATCCATCCAACCAAATATGTTAGCTCTATCTCTGATATTGAGCGCTTTCTAACAAGTACCGCGCATATGATATATAAATAATATATATAATATATTACACACACACACACACGCGCGCGCGCGCGCGCACACACACACACACACACACACACACACACACACACACACACACACAGAGACACATATATATATATTTATATTTATACACACACACTTTTCACACACACACATACACACATATATATATATGATTAAAAGGAAAGATGGCCCATGTGTGCTTCTTATAATAAGTACATTTAATAGGCCGGTTAATAAAATTTAAGTAATAAAAAACGGAATAAGATTGATTATATTTATTATATATTAGCCTTTTGACTAAATGGAAGCACGAAGAGAAAGATTTCATAGTCGGAATTTTCATTTTCAAAAAGGACACGGGCCTGTCCGAAAATTCTGAATTTAAAATCTTTCTCTTAGTGCTTCAGTTTGTCAAATGGCTAATATATAATAAATATCATCAATCTTTTTGCCAATATTGTTATCGTTTTGTTGACATTTTATTCTTTAAATTTCATTAATAGGCCTATTAAATGCACACACACACACACACACACACACACACACACACACACACACACACACACACACACACACATTACTCATATTCTCATAAATCCCGCCTCTTACGTCTTACTACTCACCCAAATAACTCCTTCAATGACCCTCTACCTTGAGTGGGTCTTACATGAAAACAATATATATTCCTTACTGATGTTCAACTTACACAAGACCCAAGTGCCATTCAAGGTGGAGTACTATTGGAGGAGGTTGTTATGTTAGTGGTAAGGGTAAGGTGTAAGAGGCAAGATGTACATTTTTTGAGGATTGTCAGCACTAATGGTGATTTATATCACTAAACCATTGATATGTAAAAGAAATTCTTACAATCTAAATATATTTTCAAGCTTTAAAACGTAGAAAACGAGTCAATCATTTAATCAAAGCTTTGGGTGTCTGCCGCTTTAAGTCACAGTAGCGGTATAGACTTAGAATTGCTGGGCACAAAGCCAGCAGTAACGGAGCACTGTTAAAGGGTACTGTTGTGGAGTAGCTGAACACCCCCAGCAACAAGACGAACTGGTCTAAGTCTATTTAACCAGCACTTTCTGAAACCTGAGGGAGAGAAGACCGCTAGTCGACCGCTTTGCCTTCACGCTGAGAGAAACCCAGACGAGGCTATGCCTCCGAGCAGAGTCTTGTCTGGGGAGGTAGACAGCTGTTTGAGCCTGACTACGCGGGATCTACGGGGAATTTTTGCCCGAGCGTACGCACTCGGAAAACCCATGTTAAAAACCGGCCTTGTGCCACATCCCACCTTGTGGGGGCGGGCTCTCGGGTAAATAACGAGGCGTTAACTATTGTTTATTACAATAGTCTATGTTCTCAACCGTGTACCATATTCTCTGAGATAAACTACTTCTTATTTTCTATGTGTGTCAACCTTTCCTATTTACGACACAACAGGAGCAATAATAGATAGCACAATACACCGGAAGGAGAACCCCGCCGAAATATATAAATTCTTTTTCTTAAGACGTTTATTCCAGTAAATTAAACTTCGCAAGTTCATTAAAGTTAGCAGCTTGACGATATTATTTTCTCATCTAGCGACATGCTTTTAAAAGCATGTCGCTAGATGAGAAAACAATAATAATAATAATTGTTTTATTTTTAAATTACATCTTTTCGGCGCAGTTAAGCTTGTTTCAAAATATTTTTAAAAAACATTATAATTACTAACTGTCTTAAAATAAGTTTTGAAAAAATTATAATTGATTTTTAAAAGAATTTCAAACTGAGATTTTCATTTTTTTTAAATGGTTGATATGATTGATTATCTGTCAATTTTTCTAACTCAAAAAAACAAGATTTTTAACGAAAATTTTGGACGTCATAGGAACGATTAAAAAACGTAAAAAAAATACCCCCCAAATCCTTTGATCTTTCCTCTTAATAATAACATAAACATTTAGACGATGAGGTTTTGTTTTTTTTAGCGACCCCTTTTTCGTCATGCTAGGTATCTTTTTTAGAGATCACTAAAAAGAGCATAGCATAACGAAAAGACGCCAAATCCTGACGAAAACAAAAAAGGCATCGTCTAAATCTTTATGTTATTATTAAGAGGAAAGATCAAAGTATTTTGGGGGTATTTTTTACATTTTTTAATCGTTCCTAGACACATCCTAAATTTTCGTTAAAAATCTTGTTTTTTTCTTGAGTCAGCAATAACCAGGCCCTCTGCGTAGCCACTTGCTGTTGACGAGTTTTCCAAAAAGAATAATACGTGTGAGTCAAATGGGACGTATTCTGGACACGTGACCCCCCCCCCCGGGCTGGATGGGGATCATGTTCTGAACTCAAAATTAATGGATTTTAAGTTTTACTGAAAAATGTAAATATTTCTAAAAGTAATGGATCTTAGTAATAAACCGCCACACAGGTGTTTGTAAATATAGTCTATTTATCAAATAAGATATATTTGATAGGATCAGTTGACGATCAGAACAAAAAATGTAGGGAGTTCCTTTTCATTAGCCCGTAAATTAATGAATCAGCAATTAAAGAGATTTTCTGATAAAAAATGTCAACCATTTAAAGAAAAAGAAAAATCTCAGTTTGAAATTCTTTTAAAAATCGATTATAATTTTTTCAAAACTTATTTTAAGAAAGTTAGAAATTATAATGTTTATTTAAAATATTTTGAAACAAGCTTAACTTAGTTTCTGCACCGAAAAGATGTAATTTGAAAATAAGACAATTATTATTATTATTGTTTTCTCATCGAGCTACATGCTTTTAACAATGTTTCCCTATATAAGGACCAAGAGCCACAGGCTTACCGAAAAAAGTTGTTGTGTGAGCGTTAAGATTAGGTCAGACGGGCAGCTTCTGAGGACATGTCGGAAACCTAGTGTTTAACTCTAGACTTGAACCAATTAAGAATGTAGCGATCAGAAAAGTCTTCCTCGTGGGAATCGGTTCCACAAAGCAACCACTCGTAGGAAGAAACTGTTCAAGTGGAAACTAATGGAATACGGGGGAATGAGGGTGGTTCGCTACGATGTACGTGGCATGTAGGTCTTCGCTGTGAAAGTGAGAACTGGTGTAACTAACGAATGTAGCTCGTCCGAACATATAAATAGGGATAGAGTAGCAGCGTTTCATCTGTGGGAAAGGCGTTGTAGAGTGTAAAATAATTCATCACCTACAAGACCGTGTAGACGCTTTTGGACTCTATCAAAACTTGAAAGGGAAAACGGTTAGTCCAAAAGTGACCTTGTGGTGATCAATTATTTTCCATGTTTAGAATGCTAGGTTACACGATGTTGGTTGGGTACCCCACCAATTGTTGCCTTGTGTCAAAATTAGGCAATACCAGGAAGTTTCGGCGTGGAGCAGTTGCTTTTTTTATTGTTGGGTATTCGTTCTATGTTGAGTGTGATTTTATTATTTTAAATTTTGTTTTCGTTCTAGCATTGAATTTCTGTTCTCAAGACGACACATTTATTTTTTCTTATCGACAAAACCTCTATGACGACCTGAGTCGAAAAAAACAATTTTTTTTATAAAAAAAAAAAAAAAAAAAAAATTCTCGAAAAATCTCGATGTTTAGTGAAAACATCCATCCCGTAGACGAGGGTGACTTCGTCGGGTAGAAAACAGGACGTGACAAACTCTCTTGGGAGGTAATAAGATTCTTGTGTTCTTATCTATATGTTTATCAATATCCGTCGGGGAAACGCGCGTACACACACACACACAAACACACAACACACACATTTATCATTCTTAGTATTATTTACACACTGCCTCACGCAGCAAGATGTAGCACAAGGCCAAGTTTTAACGTGGGGTATCCGAGCCCGTAGGCTCGGGCAAAAATTCCCTACAGACCTCGTAGAGTCAGTTTCCCGAGACGAGACTCTACCCTACGGCAGAGCCTCGTCTGGAGGATACCCTCTAACAGGTGCCAGGTAAGTATCATTCTTAGTTAACGCCACCGGGATCTATATTGACCCCAGGATCCGAATAACATTACTTACACACAAAAAATTAGGGGTGAACGGTAATATTTAAGTTGTCCATAGACCAATTTCACTTTGGGACGGTTGTTGCAACTGAGAATTTGAATTTCTACAGTAATCTACGCCATATTAAAATACTAAAACTAGAAAAACAACTCTAAAACTATCAGAAAACGAGATTAAGTGATGTAAGTTAACGCCTTTTTTAACTCTACCGGAAAGTCTTGTTTAAATAAAAACTGAGAAGGATCTATAAAAGGAAGGATTATATATATATATATATATATATATATATATATATATATATAAATGAAAATTATATAAAGATTATAAATTATTATATAAATTAATTTAATATATTAATAATGAATAATAACATTAATTTTAAATATTAATAAAATAAAATATTAATATATTAATATAAATTAATTAATATAAAATATTAAAAAATATTAATGATAAAATTAATTTAATATATAAATTATATTAGGATTATATATAAAGGAAGGATTAACAGTATTTTCCTCTTCAGCAGCAGGGGTAATTTTCAGCAAAATCTCAGCAAAATCATTCAGTCTGAGGGTCTATATATGTACTAGTGTACACGAATGTTTCAGAGAATTTAGTTGTTAAATTTTCATTAAATAAGTTTTACTTCAAAATAAAGCATATACATTTACTGTTTCTATCAGACAATTCCTAAACTTATCTATTAGTAAAAAAATAAAATAAGCTTTTTTTTATCGAATGATGAATGGGGACACCAAAAAAATAAAAAATAAAAATAAAAATAAGAGCAAAAGTGGGTCCATGGATAAAAAAAAAAAAAGATAAAAAAGTTCGAGATCCACTGGTTTATACATATGAAGAAGTGCCGAAATTTTCGACACAGCCAAAAAGACTTTCATGAAAATAAATAAATAAACAAAATAAAATAATCCAACGAGGAAAGACAGCTTGGAGATTATAACACTCACAGGACATTGAAAGCAAAGTGGGTCTATCTATCTATCTATCTATCTATCTATCTATCTATCTATCTATCTAAGTCCGTTCACATTTATTCTGTTCATTATTTATCTCTCTAATTATCTATCTATCAATCTGTTCTTTCCTCCTCTCTCTGCATATATATATATATATATATATATATATATATATATATATATCTTTTTTTTTCATTATCTATCTATCTATCTATCTATCTATCTATCTATCTGTGTTAGTCTATTTGCATCTTTCTATGTTGATACCTATCTAATCATAATTTATTCATCTTAGTTTAAGCTGGTATATGCCCAAATGAAGGTTGTGTAGCGTCAGGTTTTTAAGTAGGAAATACGCAACTCTCTTGGCCACTTTTTTTGAAAAACGTTATCTTTACAGTCAGTCACAGATACATGCACCCGCCCGTCCTTGTCCCGCCATTTTACAATTTGTGCCCTTCTTTCAATTTCTATGAATGTATGTATCTAATTTCAAAGCTAACTTTTTAAAAAAAAATGGTAGCGTTCTCAACAATTTTCTCAAAAAAACAAAAAACACAAAAACACACCCTTGCCATAAAATCCAAAAGGTCTTGCTATTCAACAAATTTAAATTTGTTATTCAACTTTTTCTTCTTTTTGACTTACATTCTGCTTACCGTCTTGGAAAGCATCTAAGATACACATTTTAAAAAAAATATATGGTTAAAAAATATCCCCCCAGCGAAGTTGACTAATGTATTCTTATGTTTACCCACACGTCGTATACTACCAGTTTTATCGATTTATTGGATTTTTTTACGGCTTATCAACCTTTTGCAGGTTATTTATTTTTAATCATTTTACCCCCAAGCAAGGCGATAATGCCACTAGGAACCAGGGAGGGAAACAGAAAGAGAAGATTTTTTTTGGTGGGGGGGACGAGAGGAGGGGACAGTAACGGGACAGGGTTCATGAAGATACAAGATGGCGACTGACGTTGCATTTTAATCTTTAGTAGGTGGCAGGAGGGCAAGAAATAGGAAGGGAGTTCCACAGGTGAAGAGAGAGAGAGAGAGAGAGAGAGAGAGAGAGAGAGAGAGAGAGAGAGAGAGAAACTGTTAGAATAGAAAGGACGCCATAGAATATTTTTATAAAATCTCTATCTATAAAAGGCAGGATGTGTGTGTGTGTAACGAATGCACGGCCGCAGTTTTCGACGGATTTGCACCAAAATTTACATGCACATGCTCCAAGTTAGCGGGAAGGCCAAGACCGACTTTGCATTTCCCAACTCACATCGATAGTGGAAATAATCGATTTTTTCATGCTTCTACGGCAGTTTTCATGTAGTTTTTGGCCATTTTCTACTGGCCAGAGTGAGAGCTAATAGCTGGCTGCCACGAATAGGCAGGAAGATTCTATTGGCCAGCGTGAGAACCAACAGCTGACTGACACGAATGTTAACTAGCATGCTAGCATGAAAAAAGATCGATAGCTGCATTCATCACAAGTGAGAAAAATGGCACTTTACTCCAATTGGCTCATTCGCTAGCTTAAACTCAACGTTGATTCTGATTCCACAGAACTGGGTTGGATGTGAAAAAGTATTTGTTGTTAACATTCTTTTTTCATTCGGTTTTTCCAGTTACGAGTCCTTTTTTTTTTTTAAAGCTGATCGTTTTTTGTTCATTTTATTTAGTTCTTTTTTATTAACAGATTTAATGTTTTAGTATAGAGCTTAGAAAAAATTCGCAGTGTGAGATAGGCAAGAAGTAAGGCATGTAGCAACATCAGCACGGCAAAGGGCACTCCTTTAAAGGCAAGGAAGGGCAAAAATATTTTAAGTCAAGTGATAGCGATTGCTGTAGGAGTCGTACGATTTTTGAATCAAGCACGGGCAACGCCGGGCTATGTTGCTAGTAGAAAATAAAATGAGAATTGTCAAAGAGAAAAAAAAAAAAAAAAAGAAAAGAAAAGGGTTTGATTGATTGGTTTGTTTTATTTGTTACGGTTTATCACCCCTTTTCAGATTATTATAAAGTCAGAAAATAATTTTAGATTGTAAGGATTCTTTTTGAGATAATAATGATTTTTACAGAAACAACTTCTGCTAGTTAACACATAACTGACGGTAGGAGGAGTGCTTACGTACCTTTCTCAAAGGTATTTGCGCGTTAAATGAATATAGAGAACAGAATCGGAACTGGAACCCGGCACTCCGATTTCTAATTCCGAGTCGTTATCCATTACACCACCCGCACATCCAAGCTTACAACACCTGGTATTGCCAAGCGGTCACCCATCTATGTACTCCCCAGGCTCGATATTGCTTAACTTCGGTGATCGTACGAGAACCGATGTTTCAACGCGATATGGCCGTAAGCCGCCATTACTTGTACCTAGCTGAAATCTACAAGATTTTAATACTGAATGTGATTATATGAAATCATATATTTGAAGATGAGGTGTCTGGTAGGCTAATACTTATCAGACAGTACTTAAATCGATTGGTATCGGTAATATTAACCGTTTCCTTATAAGGAAACATTCGTCATTCATTGATCGAGAAGCCAGTGCAGCTGTTGGTTGAAATTTATAAAAATATGTTTTATGAAAACAATTTTTCAGGAAAATAATTTTGTCAAGTCTAGTCGCTGTTAATGCCCTTGATAGTGGTTTCCTTTCTTGCCTTTTGTCTGTGGTAGTGTGGAATGTCAGTATTTTGATTACGTTAATATTCTCTCTTCGTATTACATGTGCTATCCATTTTAATTGTTGCCGCTGCTGGAAGTCTTCAAGCGATGTGGTTTCTTTAAACCGGTAAACATTTTTACCGTTTTGTTATGCCAGTCTATGAGACACGATAATGGAGAGTCCTCTTCAAGACTCAGTGGATTCATTCTTTTGAAAACCATTTTTATCATTGGTTTTATTGGAAGTTTAATTTATAACGTCATTCTTTCAAACAATATTTTAGGAAAATAGTTGATCTCAAGTCCAGTAATTGTTATTGCTCTTTCCGGTATTGATGGGGTTTTCCTTTCTTGCTTTTTGTTTGGGGTAGTGTGGAATGTCAGTATCTTGATTACGTCAGCATTCTCTCTTTGCATTACCTTTGTTATCAAACTCAGCACCAGAAAAACTTTTTTTTTAATAACCGAATAAAAGTAATTTATTAAGAATTAAAACTGAAAAGATTAAAAGATGAGTTATTGTGTACACTATTTACATTATTTGGACTATTGTCCTCGTATTTGTTACCACATATATCACAACGTTTCTGCCTTTCAGTATCTGTCTATATTTCTGAGATGAGGTATTATGTACACTATTTACATTATTCGGGCTATTGTCAGAAATCAGAAATATAGACAGATACTGAAAGGCCGAAACGTTGTTATAAATATGGCCAAAAAGATGAGGACAATAGTCCGAATAATGTAAATAGTGTACATAATACCTCACCTCAGAAATATAGACAGATTCTGTTGCATCAGTCTACGAAATCCAAAGGAGGCGTCCCCCCCTTCAAGAGACACTGGGTTCATTTTTATCATTGATCAAATAAAAAGCTTGTTTTCATTGACACTTTAACTTATAACATCATTCTCTTAAAACTCATTTTTAGCAAAATAAGTTTCTCATGTCCAGTAGCTGTTATTGTTCTTTCCAGCATTGATGGGAGTTTACTTCCTTGCACTATGTTTGGGATAGTGTAAAAATTCAGTATTTTTATTATGTCAGTATTTTCTCCCCGCATGCTATACATTTTAATTATTGCCGCTGTTGGATGTCTTCAATCGATGTGGTTTTGTTTTTAAACCAGTAAATTTTTTTGTCGTTTTTGTCGTTAACAATCCGCTCTTCCAAGCTTACAGCACCTGGTATTTCCAAGTGATCACTCATCCAGATACTGACCAGAGTTAACGTAGCTTAACTTAGGGAACTTGTTGTTTAAACGCGATATAGTCGTGAGATAGAAGAAAAGAGATACGAAAGGAAAAGAAAAAAATTAGAAAAATAAATACGAGGGTCATTCAATAAATAAGGTGAATTTTTCGGTATAAGGACTTCTAAAACAGATAGAGGCTTACTTTTTTTTGTTTTACTTCTTTTTCACATGGATTTAATTTCTTTTGCAGATTAAAAAAAAAACTTTGAGAGTTTTGGGGATTAACAAAGATGGCCGACCAAGAAGCATGCTCCAGGATTGAACAGCGATTAGTTATCAAGTTTTTGGTTGCTGAAGGGTGAAAACCAGTTGAAATTCATAGGAGAATGTCAACGGTGTATGGTGCCACATGTTTCAGCCAAAAAATGTCTATAATTGGGCTAAATTGTTTAAAGAAGGGCGGAGCTGTGTTGAGGATGAAGACAGGCCTGGGAGACCTAGAGAAGTGAGATCCCCTGAGGTGATCGAATCAGTCAATGACCTCATTCAGTCTGACAGAAGAACTACTATGAACTGCTGAGGCAGGTCAAGAAAGACATAAAGAACGAATGCAGGGGTCATCAGTCAGAAGGAGTCATCTTGCATCATGACAACGCAAGGCCTCACACGGCAGCCCAAACGGTGCAGACCATCAACAAGCCTTACAGCCCAGACCTTGCCCCTTCAGACTTTCACCTGTTTGGTCCCTTGAAAGCATTCACGAGAGGCACGAAGTTTAAAAGTGACGATGAAGTCAAAAGTGTTGTGAGCGACTGGCTGAGACATCAGTCCAAAGATTTTTACGCTTAGGGAATACAGAAGCTTGTGCACAGATGGGAAAAGTGTGTGACAGTGCTGGGAGACTACGTTGAAAAAAAAAAGTAAGCTTCTATCTGTATTAGAAGTCCTTATACCGAAAAATTCACCTTATTTATTGAATGGCCCTCATAAAAGAAAAAAAGGTGAAAAGTATAAGAGTAAAAATAAACCACTAATAAAAAGAAAAGGAAGAAAATAATAAGAAATAGAAAAAGAAAGAAAGGGAAGAAAAGGAGGAAGCAGAAAAGGAAGAAAAGGGTGAAATAGAACAGGAAGAGAAAAGGAGAAAGGGACGAAACAGAAAGAAGAAAGAAAAGAAGAAAAATGGAAGAAAAAAGACGATGGAGAAAGGAAGAAAAAGACGAAACAGAAAAGGAAGAGAAAGACGAAAAGGCGAAATGGAAGAAAAAGACGATGGAGAAATGGAAGAAAAAGACGAAACAGAAAAGGAAGAAAAAGACGAAACAGAAAAGGAAGAAAAGACGAAGGAGAAAAGGAAGAGAAAGACGATGGAGAAAAGGAAGAAAAAGACGAAACAGAAAAGGAAGAAAAAAGACGAAGCAGAAAAGGAAGAAAAGACGAAGGAGAAAAGGAAGAAAAAGACGAAGCAGAAAAGGAAGAAAAGACGAAGGAGAAAAGGAAGAAAAGGACGAAACAGAAAAGGAAGAAAAAGACGAAGCAGAAAAGGAAGAAAAAGACGAAGGAGGAAAGGAAGAGAAAGACGAAGGAGAAAAAAAAAGAGAAAGACGATGGAGAAAAGGAAGAAAAAGACGAAGCAGAAAAGGAAGAGAAAGACGAAAGAGGAAAGGAAGAAAAAGACGAAGCAGAAAAGGAAGAAAAAGACGAAAGAGGAAAGGAAGAAAAAGACGAAGGAGAAATGGAAGAAAAAGACGAAGGAGAAAAGGAAGAGAAAGACGAAGGAGAAATGGAAGAAAAAGACGAAGAAGAAAAAGAAAACCGAAGGAGAAAAGGAAGAGAAAGACGAAGGAGAAAAAAAGAAAAAGAAAAAGACGAAGCAGAAAAGGAAGAGAAAGACGAAGCAGAAAAGAAAGAGAAAGATGAAGCAGAAAAGGAAGAAAAAGACGAAGGAGAAAAGGAAGAAAAAGACGAAGCAGAAAAGGAAGAGAAAGATGAAGGAGAAAAGGATGAGAAAGACGAAAGAGAAAAGGATGAAAAAGACGATGGAGAAAAGGAAGAAAAAGACGAAGGTGAAAAGGAAGAAAAAGACGAAGCAGAAAAGGAAGAAGAAGACGAAGGAGAAAAGGAAGAGAAAGACGAAGGAGAAAAGGAAGAAAAAGACGAAGGAGAAAAGGAAGAAAAGACGAAGCAGAAAAGGAAGAAAAAGACGAAGAAAAAAAGGATGAGAAAGACGAAAGAGAAAAGGAAGAGAAAGACGAAGGAGAAAAGGAAGAAAGAGACGAAGCAGAAAAGGAAGAAAAAGACAAAGAAGAAAAAGATGAGAAAGACGAAAGAGAAAAGGATGAGAAAGACGAAGGAGAAAAGGAAGAGAAAGACGAAGCAGAAAAGGTAGAGAAAGACGAAACAGAAAGTGAAGATAAAAATCGAAGCAAAAAAAAAAGAAAAAAAAAAGAAAAGAATGGCGAAGCGGAAAAGGAAATGAAAAACAAAATATAAAAGGAAGAGAAAGACTAAGTAGAAAAGGAAAAGAAAGGCGAAGCAGAAAAGCGTGAAAAGGACGAATCAGAAAAGGAAGAGAAAGATGAAACAGAAGAGGCTGAAAAGGCTGAAACAGAAAAAGAAGATAAACATGAAGCATAAAAGTGAACAAAGGACGAAAAAGAAAGTCGAAATGAGTTCGAATCCCATTCGAATTCATTATATTCTGTTTCATATTTCGTCATTCAAGAGGACTTCATTAGACTAAAATAATTTTTTTATTAATCGAATTATATTGACATCATAACACAGCCTATAAGCATTACCAATACTTCTGTAAGTTTTAACGCCCCATAGTACACTCCACTTTCTACTGGAGCTTTTATTGCATTTCTTTTTGAACTCCCACACATGGGTTGCCAGCTTTGTAGAATGACCCTCCAGTTTAAAGGAGAACCTATAGTTTACCACACTTTTTTTAAAAATATGGTTTCTGTATATCCTACATAGACTTTGTTATGCCCCGCGGAATCCTCCGCCTCTGCTTTATATACAACACTCACAGCATTACAGTTGCCTTTCAAAGGGCACTTGTATTTGTCCCTGCTGTTGTAGAGAATGGTATCGGTGCTGTTGCTATTTGCGACTGTTTTGAACTTCTTCATGTTATGCTTTTTTTATATAATATTATCTAGATTATTCGTGCAGCAGTAACTTACTTTTTCAATATTTCTATTAAAAGATTTTTGTAGGTTAGAAGTTTTCGGGAAATGCTTATTTAGCAGTTTGAAAAATATTATATCTATATGTTTTTACTTCTAAATTTAAAGGTGGGGTGAATTAAATAATATCTCTCTTCCTGTTTCTGCTTCTTACTTGTTGAGGATTGAAGTTCAATTTGATTCTGTGCTCCGCCTCTCTTAATGCTGTCTTATCTACTTTCTTCTTTAACTCAAACATATCTTTGGACGAGAAATTTCTTGACAGTCGGCACTCAATACACTTCGAGATATGC